AATAAGTAATATATATATATATATATATATATATATATATATATATATATATATATATATATATATATATATATATATTTATATATCTTATACAATTACAATTAAATAATGTTAAAAAATACATTAAATTTCTTATATATGCTATAAAATTGTATTTAATTAATTAATATAATAAAAATATAATATTTGTACTAAAATTTAAATATATAGATGAATGATTATATTATTAAATATTTTTATTATTTAATATAATATCTAATATATTTTTATTTTATTTTAAAATAAATAATTATAATAAAGCGTACAAAAATTTTTTAATATAAAAATCCATAATAATAAAAATTATTTTTAACAAAATTTATTTTTATTTTAAAATAAATAATTATAATAATTTATTTAAAATAAAATATAATAATCTTTAATAATATTTATAATTGAATTAATGTAAATTAATTATATTCCATAAATACCATAAAATTTATAACAATAATACTAATAGTAATAATTGGGCAATTAATAATAGTATTAATTTTATAATTTTTAGTTAGAGATTAGTAAAAAATTAATTAAATTATTCAAAATTTATAAGATATGTATACTACTATTGTAGTTGGGATTAATTCCTTTATTATATCTTGCAATTTCAAATATATAATAATGGTATTTTGTAATATATTGTACAATTATGATTGTTTTATCTGTATTTTTTATATTTGCTGTAACTTATACTTTTTTAAAAATCGATTAATTATAAGTTTCAAAAATTAAAATAATTATAGTAACACTTTTTATATGTAATTTATCAATAGCAATAATAAATATATAATATTTATTAAATGCTGATATTTTAACTTGGTGTGGTAATTTTTATATGTTATTTAATTTTATTTATTTTTATATATAAGGATACGTGATAACATATAATGGTTTCATTTCAGATTAAGAATTGGTTTTTTAGTTATAAAAATAAATAACTTGTAATAAATAAAGCAATATGTAGGAAATAATAAAAACAGGAATATTACAAACATAATATTGCTAAGTTAATTATTGCTCTACATCTAATTTATATATAACCTCTTTTGAAATTGTTCTTACATTGTGTTTAATAAATGCAATAATTTATGGTTTATTTTTTGCAATGCTAAACATTTACGCTTATCTAAGAATACAAAATAAATAAAAAGAATGTTAAATTGAATAATAAAAATTTAATTAAAAAATTATTTAAAATTAATAATTTAATCAAACTTAATAATAATAATTATAATATAATTAAATAAATAATAATGTAGTTTTAGGTTAACCTGTATGAAAAAATATATATATATATAAATATATATATATATGTATATATATATATATATATTTATATATATGTTATATATTTTATATATATCTCTATTTTTATTTCATATATAATATAACATATTTTTATAATTTTTTATTTTTTTATTTTTTTATATTTTTAAACGAAATTTATCCATATTTTATAATTTTAAATTCTTAATTTATATTTATAATATATACATTTATTTTTTATACTTTTTATAAATTTATTTTGTTATTGAATTAAATATTTTTTTTTTCTATTAAATTAAATTAATTTTTGTGTGATTTTTTAACTTTTAATATATATTTAATTAATTTTTAATATCTATTCAATAAAAAATTAAGTTTCTATTTTTCTAATTTAATATAAACTCAAAATAAATTAATAAATTAAATAATAAATGGGCACATGTACTACTAAAGGAAACAATAGAACAAAAAATCATCATTAAAAAAAGTTGAGGCTTGATCAAGTATAGTATATTGATTAAGGATAGAACGAATAGTTACCATAAGATCCAAAAGAAAAACAAATATATCAAAATTAAAATATTCATTCAGTAAAGCTGAGTTCTTTTAGAATTCTTAGAGTAAAAAAATTATAAAGAAGGCAAATTTTTAATTCAAAAATATCACAAAAAGACGATAGGACATGGAGCTTTTGGTAAGGTATTTTTAGTTAATAAAATTGATACAGGTAATTTTAATATATAATTTAAAAAATAACATATATTTTATAAAAGTAAAATAATAAATATTTACTTATTAAACGCATTAATTTAATTATTTTTATACAAAAAAATTGATATTTTTATATTTTACTTATTAATTTATATATTATTATATTTTATACTAATCTTTTATATAAATTAGAGGAAATATATGCAATGAAGGTATATGAAAAAATGAGTTTATTTGAAAACAATATTTTAATGAAAGTTATTAGTGAAAGGAAAATATTAAAAGATGTTCATTCTGAATTTATAGTAAAGTTATCATATGCATTTTAAGCAGAAAATAAAATTTATTTATTAATGGAATTCGTATAAGGGGGAGAATTACATCAATATTTAAAAAAACTTATTAAATTTGATGAAAATAAAACAAAGTTTTATACAGCTTAAATTATTTTAGCTTTAGAAATATTGCATTAAAATAATATATTATATAGAGATTTAAAGTTAGAAAACGTATTATTGGGTTAAGATGGATATATAAAACTAACAGATTTCGGTATTTCAAAGGAATACATTAAAGGTAAATTTTATAAGAAAATATATATATATATAAATAAATATAAATATATATATATATATATATTATTATATTTTTTTTAGGTGAAGATAAAACAAATACGTTTTGTGGCACACCTGAATATATGGCACCAGAATAAATATAAAATTTAGGTCATAATAAAAAAGTAGATTTGTGGCAATTAGTAACAAAAAATGAATAAATTAAACATAAATATTTTTCAAGGGAATTTTAATTTATGAGATGTTATGTGGAAGTACTCCTTTTAAAAATTCGAGTTGTAGAAATAATAAAGAAGTAATGTTTAGTAATATTATAAATCTTAATTATAATTTTCCATACTTTGTTTCTAATAGCGCAAGAGGATTGATTTAAGGATTACTTTAAAAAGAACCAAATAATAGATTATCATTTGATTAAATTAAATAGCAAAAATTTTTTGAAAATTTTGATTGGGAATCACTCAAAAAAAAAAAAATAGAACCAGAATATAAGCCACCACCTCGAACTCCTATCGATTTAAGAAACATTAACTAAGTAATATTATTATTTCAAAAATAAAAGAAAAAATAATATAATAATTATTAATAAAGAAATATATATTAATATATAAAATTTTATTTATTTATATATTCCTATTTAAATTTTTTATTTTATTTTTTATAAATAGTAAGCTATTTAGTAATCTATAGTTATTGATAAATACTAAGATAAAAATAAAGAAGAAGCTAATAAATAATTAGTTGGATTTAGTTATTATTAAGAGTAAAATTTAAATTTAATCTATTTATAATATTTTTCTTTTATAATATATAAAGTGATATTTCAGCATAATAAGATAATTAAAAATAAACTTAATAATAGACTTTTAGAAAAGATATAAACGATTTAAAAATTTCAAGAAACTCTAGTTTTATAGCATTTTGAATATTAATAGAAATAAAAAAATAAATATATTATACTAAAATAAGTATTTCTTTTTAAAAAATATCTTATTATCTTTAGATTTAATTTTTATAAATATATTTTTAAATTATTTTAAAAAAAAAATATAAAATTCAGTTTTTATTTTTTTCTAAATAACTTAATATTTAATAATAATAAAAAATAATTAAACATATTAATTAATTTATTTTATTTAGTTTTTAAAAAAGATAAATGAATACCTTCAATAAAATATATCTTATAAATTTAATTTAATTTTATTTAAATTAAATTAAATTAAATTAAATTAAATTAAATTAAATTAAATTAAATTAAATACAAATATAAATATAAAATAAATTTAAAAAAGCTAATGAGTTTAAATTTAAAAAAGAATTGGTTCTTTAAAAATAGAATGTATTTAATGTTAGGAACATTATTTTTTGGTTCAACTTCTTATTTAGTACTTCGTTATTAAAAAGAAAAAAATTTGAACATCCATTAGTAAGTGAAACAATTCGTTTAATGGAAAGAAATACTTAAATAGTTGAATTAATAGGTTATCCATTGGACCCTAAAATCGGTTTAAAAAGTATATTTGATTAATAAGGAAGTAATACACAGACATAAATATTTTTTTATTTTTTTTATAAATATAAAAAGATAAAGTAAATTTATTATTTACTGTAACTGGACCAAAAGGTTACATACATATTGATGTAACAGCAAGTAGTAAAGAATTAAAAGACTTAAAAGATACATAAGAAAAGATGGAATACTATTTACCTGATAATGATATATAAACATAGTTAATTGAAATAAAAAAATTAGAAGAATAATAAAAGGTTGAGTTATTAAATTAATAAATTCCAGAAAATTCAAAATTTTGGAAAATGGAATTTTTAGCAGCTGATTTGGCAGATTCTGTAAGAATCATAGTGTAGGATAATATTGGGGAAATATTAAAAAATAATAATTAATAGTAAAAAAAGAAATAAAAAATAAATACGTATAGGAGGTAATAACACCTCGAAAAACAATACAAGATTTATTAAAGGAATATAGTTATAGAAATATAAATTTAAATATGAAAGATATTAATGAATTAGATGAGGAATAAAGAAGAAGATATAGATAAAATAAATTGTATAGATCTGTAGGAAGCATTAGGATTTATTTGTTTTCATTTTTTATTTTTGGGTTTATGGGAACATATATTTATGTAATGAAAAATAAAAGAAAAACAATTGTCAATTCTTAAATACATTTAAGTTCTATGGATATTGTTAAAAAATCAAAATTTGTTTAGTAATAAATTGGAAATAATTTGTATATTTCATAAGCAATAAGAGGCTAGGAAATTGATAAAAAAGCCAAGTTTGAATTCGATATTTTTGGAGATAAAGCTAATGCTATTGCTAAGATTTTAGGTTCTAAAGATGATGATGATAATTGGATTTTAGAAGAAGTTTTAATTTAATAAAAAGATTAATAAGGAAATATAATATAAACTAAAAAAATTATTTGAAATAATATATATATATAAAGAAAAAATAAATATTATAATTTTATTTTTTATTTCATATAAAAAATCTTTAACTTAATTTCCTTCAGTTTTACTTTGTCAATTTACAAAGCCTTCTAATTTTTCTTTATTTTCATACTATTATACAGTTATTTCTTTTTCTATTTTTTACTAGAAATCATTCTTATTACTTTAGGATGTATTTATTTAATTATTTTGTAAAGTTATATCTTTAATTTCTTATAAAGACTATTATTTATTTTAGTTTGGTAAGATTTCATTATTTAACTTAAGCATTTTTAAAGCTGTTAAAGATAATTAATTCTCATGTATTATTTAATTTGGTTAATTTTAAATATCGGATTCATTCGTTTTACTTGTTTATTATTTCAATAAATAGTCTTTCAAAAGATATTCTAAACAATCTTTTTCTTAAGAAATTTCGTTTATTTTTTTATTTAATTCATCTATTAATTATATACTAATAACTATTTATTTTATTAAATTAATAAATAAAAAAAAAATACTTTAATCATTTTATCTTAACTTAGCAAAAATAAGTCTTAGATATTTAGCTTTTTCTAATTTTATTTCTTATTCAAGTTTTTTTAATAGTTTATTTTCCTTTAAAAATTAAATAAATATTTAATAAAAAATGTGTAAATGTTAATTTTACAACTGCCCTGAGTTTTTTATATTTTTAAATTTCTTAATTTTATTCTTGATTTTTTTTATTTAATTCTTAATTTTCTTTATTATATTTTATTATTGTATTTTATAACGATTTTATTTATTTATGATTTTTGCTTTATATTTCTTTAATTTTTTATTCATAATGTTTAATTGTTTCTTCTTATAAATTTCTTTCGTTATTTTTTTAAGTTGCTTCATTTGTTTTAGAAAAAATTAATTAACTTTGATCATCATTATTATCTAATTTTTAAATAAACACAGAATTATTAATATTAATTATTTTGTTTCCAATTTCTTATAAAATTGTTTTTTATTTATCCAAATTTTCTTTATTTTATTCATAATAAGTCTATTTTTGATAATTAATATCTTCTACATAATTTTACTATTTTGAACTATTTAATTTTTAGGAATGTAAAGGAATACAATTTTTTTATTTTTAAACAGGTTAAATTTGTTTATTTTAAAATTCTTTATAAAGCTGTTATAATTAAATATTTGAAATTTTTAATTCCTCACCTTACATTTATTAAGCTATTTGCTCTATTTAAATATAAGTACTATTTATTTTACCTAAACTAGAATTACTATTTTCTCTTTAGTAATTTATTGGAATCATATATTTTTTATGGCTTACGCTGTTAAAAGACGAATTGTTTATATTTACATGTAACTTTTATTCTGATTTATTGAGCTAATTATTATTATTATATTGAGTAAAAGAATTATTTTTTTTTAATTTTTATTATTGAATTTCATAATAATATTTTTAATTTAATTATTCTAAATTTTTTTGTTCGTTTCTTTTTTTAGTACACAACTCTTTATAACTAGTATTTTGTTTTATCATTTATTTTTATTTTAGTAATATAATATATATATATATAATTAATCTGTTAAAAAATATATATCAAATAATTATTAAAATTTTTATTTTAAAATACATATTAAAAATTAATTAATTAAATAATAAAAAAAATTTTATTTAAACATAATAATATAGATATAATAGGTAAAAGAAGAAATAATAAAATAAAAAAGAAGACAAAAATAAAAAAAATTATAATAGATATTGAATATATCTATATATATATATATATAAATATATAAATATAATAAGTTAATTTTTTTCAATTATATAATTTACTTATTATAGCGATTTCCTATATTAATTTAGCATTTTAAGTAATTTCTTTTGTTTTTTATACATACTTAAAATAATACAGTCTTATTTATTATAATATAAAAAAACTATGTATTAAATTAAAAAATAAATTGATTTATGTATTTGAATTTTAATATTTATAATGATATGAGGTTTTTTTAAAACAACATAATTATAATAAAATTAAAATGTTTATATAAAAAATATATAATTATATTTAGAAGTTTATTAAATTATTTATAGAAAAGTATATTCATTTTTATTATTAATAATAGTCTATAATTTTTATGAAATATTAAAAAAATTTTACTTTTGATATATTAATAAAATATTATATATATAAAAGTATATATATAATAATTATAAAAAATATATGAAAAAATAATAAGTAAAAAACAAAAATATAATTATAAGAAATAATATATAAATTTATATTATAAATAAAATAATTATAAAAATCAACTTTTGTTAAAGATAATAAATACTTTAATGTCTTAACTTTTTATGATAATTTACATAAAAATATTTATTTTAAATTATATATATAACCTTTTTAAATATAAAATGATTTTTAAAATTTGCTAAAATTCAATTTTTAGCATGTATTTAATTAAATTTTCGAAAAAATTATTTTTTATTTCTAATAAAAATAATTATTAATCATTTTTTTTTTCTTTCTTAAAAGCTTAATATTTTTGTTAATTAAAACTCTAAAAACAAATATAAACTAAATTGAAATCTTACTATAAAAATTTAATAATAATAATAAACACTAAAAATTTATGTATATTTATATCAATAATTATATTAATATAAAATTAAATTAAATATATAATTACAACATATAATATATGGATTTATTTTTTAATGAAATTTTATTTATGAAAATATTTTCTATAATTTTATTTTAAATAATTTTTACATTTTTTATTGTTATAAAAATAAATTTTTAATTAAAAAAGAATCTTAGTAATGTAAACTATTAGCAAGCTGGTATAGCACAGTGGTTAGTGCATCTGCCTTGTAAGCAGAAGGCCGTCGGTTCGAATCCGACTATCAGCTCTTTTTTTTTTTTTTAAATAAAAAAAAAATATTTATTATTTTTTATTTAATTAATTCTTTTATTGTTAATTATACAAATAATAATAGCTTTAACTTTTTTTTTTTTGAAAATAATTTGATTTCTATTTTAATTAAAATTTTATAAAAAAATACTTTTTTTACTTTTTACTTTTTACTTTTTTTTTAAAAATTTTGTTTACTTAATATATATTTTTAATAAAAGATATACAATATTTCTTTTTTTTATAAATAAAAAATAAATAAAATAAAGAAAAATAAAAAAGAAAAAATGGTACATACATTTAATTAAAATAAATAATTAATAATAAATATAAAAAAAGTAATCTCTATTAGGTTTAGTAACAAATACTTCAGCCAATATTTCAATAGAATTAGATGGATAAGATACCAGAAAAAAAACAACTATACGTGTTAAGGGAGAAGATCCGTTTAAGTTATTAGTTTATACAGTAACAAAAAAAAAAATATTATAAAATATATATATATGAATTTGTTTTTTAACAAAAAGGGAGATGATGATATAAGTGGTGTTGTAGATATAAGATTAAAAGGAAAAAACTAGACCATTAAGGAATTAAAATAGAATTAGTTGGACATCTAGGTAAACATATAAATTTATTTATTAAAAATATATAAAATTTAGAGGTTTTATATGACTCTAAATAAAATACTGATTTTATGAGTATGTCAAGAGAATTAGAGCCAGTAGGAACATTATTAGATGATAAAAAATTCAAATTTTTATTCCCAAAGTTTGAAAAGTAAATGGAAACATATTATGGAAATACAGCAAAAATTAGATATTTTTTAAGAGTTACTATTAATAGATAATATGGGCAAAAAATTTAGTAAAATTAAGATTTCGCAGTTATTTTACCAAATCCATAAATCGAAAAATTAGAAAATAACATTATTAGATTAGAAGTAATTTAAAATAAACAAAAAATTAATTTTAATTATATTATAAAAGGTAGGAATATAAGAATGTTTACATATAGAATTTGAATTTTCAAAAGATAAATATCATTTAAAAGATTGTCTCATCGGAAAAGTAAGCTTTTTATTAGTGAAAATCAGAATCAAACACATGCAATTATAGATAATAAAATAAGAAACAACTTATAGTAAAAAATATATATATGTATATATATAATATATATAAATATATATATTTTAATAAAAATAAAGATAATGGATAACCTAATAAAGATAATGATACATTAGTTGATTTTGAAATTATGGATGGATGCCCGAGAAAAGGAGAAGTTATTCCAATCAGATTATATTTAAGTGGGGTTGATTTAACTCCCTCTTATACTGAAACGAGTTATAGCAAATTTTAAGTCAAACATTTTATTAATCTTATTTTAATCGATGATGAGGGGAAAAGGTATTTCAAATAATAGGAAATTACTGTTTATCGTAAAAAATGATATACTATTATGTTTTTTGTTTTTCCAAAAAAATAATAATATAATTCATTAAAATAGTTTTTTTTGTTATAAGTTTTTCTTAAATTTAATAGTAAAAAATTAATTTTTTATTTTATACTATATTTATATTTATTGCTAAAACGCTGTTTTTATTAATTTCTTTCTTCAAATGTTAGTTGTAAAACAGAATAATATATAATAAAGGATATATTATATAATGATATTATAATATTTTAACAATAAAAAAATAATTATCTACAATTAAATATAAAATTAATAAATTTAATATTTAATAAACAAATAATTTTTTTAGTAAAAATATAAAAAACTTGCAACATATTAAAATAAAATAATAAAATAAAATTACATTTCAAAAAAATGGGAAATCAGTGTACTTAAGATATATGTAATAGTAATACCGAAGTATTGAATTCCTAAGAAACTTTATATAGTGTAAACGAAACATAAAAAAAGCAATCATAAGTTTAAGACTGAATCGAAGAAAATTTATCTTTACTAGAAGAATAAAACCCTGTAAGCATAAAAAACACCCAAACTCGTATCCGTTTTAAATCAATATTGCTTACAAACGGTATAATATACAAAGGAGAATGGTACTAAGGAAAACGAGACGGATATGGAATATAAAGATGGCCAAACGGTTCTTAATATGAAGGCCAATGGAGTGATGATAAAGCAAACGGCAACGGTAAATTAATACATGCAGATGGAGATGTATATGAGGGTGAATGGAAAGATGGAAAAGCGAATGGAAAAGGGACATACTTGCATGTTAATGGGGCGAAATATGTAGGATATTGGAAAGATGATAAATAGCATGGAAAAGGGGTTGAATATTGGCCTGATTCTTCTATATATGAAGGAGAATATTTAGACGGGTAAAAAAATGGAAATGGTGTTCTTATTTTTGCCGATAAATCTGAATATAGAGGAGAATTCGAAAATAATTTTATTTAAGGTTACGGAGAGTATAAATGGACTGATGGAAGGATTTATAAAGGATATTGGATATAAAATAAAATGAATAAAAGGGGGGTTATTTAGTGGCCGGATGGAAAAACTTATGATGGGGAATATAAAGATGATAAAAAGCATGGAAAAGGGGTCTTTTATTGGAAAGATGGAAAAAAATATGCGGGATTCTGGAATGAGGGAAAATAAGATGGAATTGGAATTTAAATATTAAGTGATGGAAAAAAAATTATTGGCGAATGGAAAGATGGGAAAAAAATTAAAAATTTAATTGAGGATTAATTAGGTGAAAATAAAGAAATAGTCGAAGAATTATAAAAATTATTTTGAAGATTATTTTTTTGATTGTTTATTATTATTTTTTGAATTTAAAATATATATAAGTATAAATAATTATATAAAATATATAGTATAAATAAATAAATATATTATATATATACATATATTTTTGTAACATTATTTTTATTTTTATTTTATTTTATCTTTTACTTTTTTTTAATTTTAAATATTTATTCAACAAAACAAATTTCGATATAAAAGATTTATTATTATATTTTATTGATATTACTTAATTAAAGTAATATTTATATACATTTTATTTGTTTTTATTACATTTTTATATTTAGTTTAATAAATAAATATATATATTTTTTTTTTTCATTTATAATTTTTATATTTAATGTATTTATTTTATAAAATGAAATCATCATTTAATTATTAATTCTTTATATCTTTAATCAAATATACATACATATAAATAAATAATTTAATATATTTTTTAAATTAATTTACTTTTTTATAATATATTTAAATTTTATTAAAATCTTTATTATCTTTAATGGTAATTAATTTTAAAAATTTAAACGTACATATAATATAAAATTATATATAAAATAAAAAATAATTAAAAATTTGTTTTTACATTTTAAAAAAATGATTTTAAGTAATACTAATTTAGTAAATTTGCTTTAATAAAAAATTAAAAAGACTTTACTTTCAGTCACTGATGATGATTTATTTAAAATTTTTGATTCTTTTTTATTAAAATCTGGAATTAAAATAGATGTTTCTACAAAAACTATTGCATATAAATGGTTTTTATTAAAATTCAATTTTTTAAAATATTAAACTAAATTTATAAAAAAAATAGTTTTGAGTCAACATTTATATTTAACCAAAAAAAGTTAATGGTAATTTTAGATTAATATAAATATATTTAATTTTTTTATTTTATTTAAAAAAAAAAAAAATTGACATTAATATAAAATTAAAGGTTATGGAAGAAACGAAAAACAAGCAAATATAAATTGTATTAAAAATTTTTTGGAACTTATTTTAGAAGATGAATAAGTAGTTATTTAATTTAAAGATTGCATTCTAGAATGTATATTATAAAATATTCAAAAGCATTTTAAAAATATTCATAATATATAAAAAAGTAAATTAGATAAAAGAATTGAAATAATTATAGAATGCACATAATAAAAGTATTTCTTATTAATAAACATAATAAAATGATTTAATTAGTTCTTTTGATAATAATATTAATTCTTTAATCAAAAAATAATAAGAGAATAATTAAATAAATATAAGTTTATAAAAATATGAAAATTTATAACTTTAATAAAAAATTTAATAAGAAGAAATAAAATAAAGCCATCCACCTTTATTAAATAATATAAAATCAAAACAAATTAATTTTAGTGGTAATTACTAAACTTTGCAAAATAATCCAGTTAATAATATTTAGGAATCTTAAAATTAATTCAACACTAGTATTTTTGATAAATCAATTGATTAAAATTAAAAGTAAAATATAAAAAACAAAAAAATGTAAAAAAAATAAAATAAATTAAAGATATTTAGATTTAGAAGAAGAATTAAAAAAGTCAAAAAATTATATTTAACATTTAGAAACAAAAATAAAATTATTCTATGAAGAAAATAAAGTTAAAAATTAAAATGTTATAATAATTTTATTTTTTATTTAAAGATTTTAAAATCTTTATTACTTGAGAGTAAAAAGCGAAATTTCACTGAAGATAATTAAGATAATAAAGACAATAAAGACAATAAAGACAATAAAGACAATAAAGACAATAAAGACAATAAAGACAATAAAGACAATAAAGAAAATAAAGACAATAAAGACAATAAAAACAATAAAGACAATAAAGAAAATAAAGACAATAAAGACAATAGAGACAATAGATACAATAAAGACAATAAAGAGAATAAAGAGAATAGAGACAATATAAAATAAGCATAATAATAAAAATTTTAATAAATAAACTTAAATAATACATCAAATATTATAAATTCATTTAATACATAAAAATTAATAAATAATACAATTTAAAATGTTTATAAACCAATAATAACTTAACCATAAGAATAAATAAATGAAAAATGTAAAAAATATTATTTTAAAATTAAAAATCATAAAACATATAAAGATAGAAGTTTATCTGTTGAAGTTAATTAAAAAAGATTTGAAACTAGTTTAGATAATTATTAATTAAAATTAGATACGTCTTTAATGGAAAATTGTTAAAAAATTGGACATGAAAAGATTAAAGATAAAATTCCTAAGTTAAATTTATAGATTTTACCTAATTATCATGGAAAAAGTAACAAGTCTATAAATAATTAATTACTTGCAGCTTATTAATAAAAATATAGGAATGAAAAAATTAAATAGATTTAAGAAAATTATAATTAATATTTAAATATTTGAATTTATTTTTCATATTATTTAAATTAATTTTAGTTATATTTATATTTATTTTTTTAAAAAAAATTAAAAATTAATTTACATTAAAATTGAAAAAAAAAAATTATTATATATATATTATTTTTATACATTTTAAAAAATATTTATAAACATGCATATATATATGAAATGTATTAGAAAAAAAAAAAGTTATAAATTATAAAAAAAAAATACAAAAAACTTATAAGAATAAAGTTATTTAATTACAATCATTAGTTTTATAAACTAATTTAAATATTTTATTAACTATTTTCATCTTTTATTGTTTTATTAGCTAAATTTAATACATTTTATACTAATTAATTGTTTAAATTATCCATTTATTCTATTTTTTATTTATAATAATAAACCAATTCTTAATTTACCATATATTTAATATTTTAATCAATAATTTATTTCATTCTAATAATTTCATTACTAAGACCAGAAAATTAATTTGTAAAATTATTAACATTCATTTTTTAGTTTTTTATTTAATCTTAATATTTTATTAAATCTTATATTTCTTTTTATAAAACCGAAATTGTTTATTTAAAATCATTTATTTAATTTTAAAAATCATTATTCTTTTATAATAAAAATTTATTTTCAGATAAAATGTTGTCTAATTTTTAAGTATTTATCAATGAATATTCATATCTTATTAAAGAAATTTTTTCAAAATCTTCATTGTTTTTGACATTTTTAATATTTTCATTTATTTTTTCTAATAGTTTTTTTAAATTTCGATTTTCAATTATAAATTTATTTATTTCTTCCTTTAATTTTTGTTATATATAATAAAATATATATATAAATATATATATATATATATTATATATAAATTAATTTTTACTTTTTTTTCTTATATATGTTTTTCATATAAGATCTTTTCATATTTATAATTATCTATTTCTTTTTATTATTTATTTATTTAAATTTCTAATTAATTGCTTTTGTTTTTCTCTATATTTATATTTTCTTTTAAATCATTTACTAATATATTAAGATTTTTTATTAAAAATTAGCTTTCTTCACATTATTTACATAATAATTTTTTTTTTTTTGTATTTTCATTATTTTTAAAATTCTCGTTATTTTATTATTCATTAGTTTAAGTAAAGGAATTAACAAAACATTTTTAATTATTTTTTTAACTATTTTTTAGTTCTAAAATTTAATTTTTAAATCTTTATATTTCTTCTTTTAACTCGTATATTATATTTGTTTTATCAAAACTTTAAGCTTTTTATAACATAAATTCTAATCTTTTTTAATCAGAATCTGTTGATATTTGTTATATACTTGTCTTATTTTATTAATTTACCTATTTTTATTTTTTATAAATCTATTATTATAAATATTTTATTTAATTTTATTTTATACATTATTATTTAGTATTTCAAGTTTAAAATCTTTATATTGAGATTTTTTTTTTTAAAAAACTTCTATTTTTGGTAAACTTTTTTAATTTTTAAAATTCATTTATAATTATAAATATTAGATTCAGTTAAAATTTTATTTAATTATATATATATAAATATATATATATATATAAATAATATATATTTATTCATATAATTATTAAATTATATAAATTAAAAATAATTATTTATAACAAATAAAAAAATCATTAATATACAAGTTTTTATTATTCTTCTAAAATTTTTCTAATTTTAATTATAACTTCCCCAACTCCATATCCATGTTTTGCACTAACCAAGTAAATTTTTTACCCAATTTTTTCTTCTAAAATTTGCACTTTTGTTTCCGCATTTTATTCCAAATCCATTTTATTTGCAACTACTAAAAAGGGTTTTTCTCCCAATTCTTATCTATATTAAATAATTTCATTTTATAAAATTTTAAAAGTATTAAAAACGTCATTTTCTTAAGATATATCAAGTAAAAATAACAAAACATTAGTTCTTTCTATATGCCTCAAAAATTCTAAACCAATTCCTTTATTTTTGTGTGAATTTTCAATAATTCCTGGAATATCAGCTATAGTAAAATTTGCATTATCAATAAATTTTACTTTTCCAACTAAAGGACTTAATGTAGTAAATGGATAGTTCGCTATTTTCGGCAGACACCTACTTACACAGGCTACAAAAGTCGATTTTCCGGCATTTGGAAAGCCTACAAGCCCACAGTCGGCTATTGTTTTTAATTCTAAATATATTTATTTTTGTTAACCTTCTCCTCCTTTTTCGTTTTATAATATTGAACGATGGTTTTAATTTCCTCTACCACCTTTTCCGCCTTATACGATTAGTACTTCTTTCCCTTTCTCATCTATGTCAGCCAAAAATTTCTTATTATATTACACTTTTCTTATGCCATGGGAATTTATTGTAGATGTTTCATTTAATATTTAATACACTAAAGTCCCTATAGGAATACTTATGTGTAAATCTTTCCCACTTTTACCAAAGCGACCTCCTTTGGCACCTGATTGACCTTAATTTCCAATAATTTTAGTCTTTTTGAATGAATGAAAGTCCTATATATGCTCATTTGCACGTAAATATATGGAACCACCGTTTCCTCCATCGCCGCCATCTGGTGCACCAGAAATTACACTGCGATCACGGAAATATGAACAACAACCGGAACCCCCAGAACCTGCTTTGAATTCGAGTTTTATTTAATCAACGAATTTTTTTCGTAGAAATTCTTGTATGTTTGCATTATTTCGGTGGTTATAGGAGTTTCTTTTAGGCTTGTGAAGTGTTAATGAGTTTGAATGTATGATTTTGTTTTGATTGCTTAAATATGCGGTTTATGAGTTGCATTTTTTTATTTATTTTTCTTTGAAAAAAAAAAGATAAATTAGATTTTTTTTTAGCTTTTTGTTTACAAAAAACTATAATATTATATTTATTATTTTTTTATTAAAAAATTAACTAAAATAAAATTTATATTTATAGATTATATTAATAATATTAATATTATTTAGAATATTTTTTTTTTATAATATTTTAATTATTATATTATTATTTATAAAATGAAAAAAAATTGTAAAATATATTTAATTAATTTATCTATATATATGTATATATATTATTTAACTTTATATATACCTATGAATGATTAATACAGATATAAATATATTTTGTTGTTATATAATTAAAATCAATTTGTATATTATTTTATTTTAATTATTATTTATATGATTATTTTTTAAAAAAAATCTAATAATTTATTATAAATTAATAATATAATTTTATTATATATAATACAACAAAATTAAAATGAAATTATTTATAATTTTTAATAAAGTCTAAATCAAAAATATAAATACATTATTATAAGGCTTATAAAATAATAAATATTTACATTATTTATAAATTAATTAATTAATTAATATAAAAAAGAATTAAATTAATAATGGTTTACTTAAAACGAAATAAATAATGTACATTAAAAAATAAATGGTTTATTTTAATCTTAATTAAATAAAAAGAACTTAAAATACATAATAAATTAATAGAATTAAGTAATAAATTCTTATTTTAAAAAATCTAAAAAATATATTTAATATTTTATATAATTAAAGCTTAAAGATAGAATATTTTTTTTTTTAAATTAGGAAATAATATTTACAAAATAATTATTAAATTAAATTTAATTCGACAAAACGATATATAAGTATTCCAGATAAATTGAAATTGAATATTAATCACGAAACAATTATTCTATATTTCATACAGATTAGCTTATTTTAATATATCCAAATAGGCATTTTTAGACTATTATAGCCAAAATAATATTAAATCAAAAGATGAACTGAACTATAATATTATAGTCAATTAATTAATGGCAGTTATATAATATAAAGGATAAGTTTTTGTATATTAATAATTATATTTTAAGTCATATTTACGAAATTAATCGAATAAAATCAAATATTTATTAAGAGAATTTTTTAAAAGTATTTAAGAGTAAATTTATGAATAGATAAAATATAGAATCAAATTAAGAATAAAATTAGCTATAAAAATTAATATTTAATAAATTATAAAAATAATAATAAAGCTAAGAATAATATATTTTTCTTAATATAATGATATTAAAAGAAAATCACAATTCTAATACATAAAAAAGTATTGTTTTATAATATTTATGTTAAATATTAAACCATATGATTAAATGAGAAAACATAAATAATATTATCATTTAAATAAATAATAAAAATTATATTTAAGATTTTAATAATTAACAAAGAGTTTTTTTTTTTAAATAAGTAAATCCGCTTTAAACATAATATTTTTATAAAATAATTAGTAAATTTATAACCTTTTAAGAAATATAAAAAATTAAGTGTATATTTATATTAATTTGATTAAATATATATTGTTTTAGAAGTTTTAATAATTATATATTTATACAAAAAATATTTTTATTTTATAAATAAAACAATTATAAATAACAAATTTTATTTATATTTTAGATAATTAATATTAATTAATTAATATATATTTCTTTTTTAAAAAACTTAACTAATTCATTAATATAAATACTCACATTTACCTAATAAATGTTTTTACAATTTCTTTTGCACTATTCATTATATTGTAAGATTCAACAAGTTCATCTAACCCCTCGTTTCTATAAATAACATTACATGGTCCACATAAACTACATTTAAGTTCTTTAATTATAGAATTGTTATTATTTGAATAATGACATATTTTGCAAAAATTATGACCACAAGGTACACAAGTTACAGCAGTATTAATTAATTAATTACAATTGTTACAAGATAAAATATTAACAGTTTTTTGCTAATTTTAATATAAAAAAAAAAAATTATAAATATTATATTTCTATATGTAAAAATATATAAAAATATACAAAATAAAATAAAATATAAAGTAAATAAATATATATATATTAATATATATATATATATATATATATATAAATATATATATTTATATAATATTATACTAATGAATTTTCCACTTATTATATTACTTAAAATTAATTTTCATTTTTCAATTATCTTATTTTTATTTTATTTATATTTATTTATAACTCATTATTTAAGTTTTCCATATCTTCTATTTTTTTAATTAATTCATTTATCTCTACATTTTATTTTATTTCATTTATATTTTCTTATAATATTAATTTAATTTAAATTATTTTTTCATTTAAACTATGAAATTAGTTGTAATTATTTGAAATATTTTTTTTGCTTTTAACCATTCTTATTATTCATTTAAACTTATTATTTATTTTTATTAGTTTATTATTAATTTGTTTTAATTTTCTATTTAATTTTTTTGTATTTATGTATCTTTATTAAGTTATTATATTTGGATTTCTTGTTTTTATTTTAAACTTTCAAGTTAATTATAATGTTCTGTTTTTATTAAAATATATTCATTTTTTTATTATATTTTTTCCAATAGACAATTATTTTTCAAATTCATTATTTTGTCATTTAAAATTTATAAACTTTTTTTTAATTATATATTTTCTTATTCAAATTTTTTACATTAATCCTAATTTATATATATTTTTTTAAAAAAATACATTGCTTTTTAATTATACATTTTATTATTTGATATAATTTTCGATAATTCTTTTTTCATTTTAATAATTTTCGATTTGCTTTTATTGAAGAGTAATTTAATCTTATAAAGTTTATTCATTTTTATTTTCATTTTCGTTTTCATTTTCTTTTTCTTTTTCTTTTTCATTTTCTTTTTCGTTTTCATTTTCGTTTTCCTTTTCATTTTTATTTTCATTTTTATTTTTATTTTCATTTTCATTTTCTATTTAATTTGTTTATCTAGAATTAGTTTTTTCAATTGTATTTTCATTTTATATTTCTTAAGTTTAATTTCCTTATTCAAAAGTTTTTATTTTTTCAGTTTAGCAAAATTAAGATACTTTAACTAATATTTAGCTTTTTTAGCTTTTTAAGTTATTTTATTATTTTAAATTTTATAAATTTAAAATTTGTTCTTTTAATTTCTATATTTCAGCATTTTGTTGTTTTATAAAATAGCTATTGTGCTAATTTTGATTTTTTAAAAAATTCTAGTCTAGCTTATTTTAATCAATATTTTCTAATTGTATTTTTGTAATTGATTTATTTACTATGTTTAACTTTTATAGTATGTATAATTATTATTCTTTTTTATTTATTTTTTTAAAAATTAATTTACTTTTAAATCAATTATATTATTATTTCTTTCTCTACTAAAATTTCTATTTTATGTTTCTTTATTTTAATAAAATTCAATTTTTGGAAGACTTTTTAATTTCAAATTCATTAATTTATTTTATTAACTTATGTGGTATATTTTGTTATTTTTTTAAAAAAAATATCAACAACAAAAATTTTAATTTTTTTATTTTTATATTTTAATATTTTTAATATTTTTTTCTTTTTATGATATAAAGTAATTATAATTTACAAATGATTAATTAATTAACAATATTTTTATAAAAATAAAAAAAAATTATATATTTCTTTCTATAATTAGAAAATAATATAAATGTATTAATAATAAATTAATTAAAAAATGCAATATTTTAATAATAGTAATTCTACATATATTTATTATTTTTATTTTTTTAAAAAAAATATAAACATATATGATACATACACAATTTAATTTTATTTAAAAAAAAAAAAAATCATTATAATTATTAAACATTTAAAACTCCTGTAGGAAAAATATCAAGTTATTAAAGAGTACTTTAACAATCATTTGAAATTATTTTTTTCGGATAATTAGTAACTAACTAAAAGCTTTTATAATCACTAAAATTTTTAGCAATTTCATAAGCATCAGAAATTAATTTATTCGCGAAAATTCTAACTAACAAAACTACATTTTTTTATTTATAAAAAGTTCTTATTTTTAACTCACATGCATCTTAATTATCATTTTATTTTCCCTCTTTAAAAATTTAAAATTCTTCATTTAAAATTCTAATATTGCCATCTTCTAAAACATTGTACTTAAAAGATTTTGAATCTTCTTCCATATTTTCCTCATTTATTTTTTATAAATTTTACATATATAAAGGCTTTTATCCCTCCAATTTTTTCTAAACTTCACTCCTAATATTTAAAACTTATCCATCTTTAATAACTTGTTTGGGAATTTTATCTAAAAACTCATCTTTAGAAAGAGGTTTTAGTTAATTTTCCTCGGCACTTTCCAATGTATTAATTTAAAATACTTTATTTGGGGAATAATTTACATCGGTTTTATCTATAATCTTTAACAAAACTCCATTCGGGTATTATTTTTTCAATTAATAAGGAAAATATCCATCTAATAAATCTGCTAAATCTACTTAGAATCAGCAGTTCCATATTTGAAAACTTAAAGCCTTTTAAAGCGATCCCATCTTGGTAAAATCCTATAGGAATAGGTTCCATTTTTCTAATTCTGTTAAATCCTCTTTCGTCCTTATAAACTTCTTAACATCCGCCTTCTTTTTCCATTAAAAAATTTAATTCTTCGATTCTTCTCGCAACTATATTTAAATCAATTTATTAAGGAAGGTTATAATTGTATTTAGGCTTTTTTACATCGTCCAAAAGTCTTTCTTTTTCAAATTTTTCAGTATTTAATTCTTCAGTGTTTTTTTCATTGTTTAAAATCCATTTTACTCCATATTCAGATAAGAAGGTCTCCATTTCAATTACTTTTTTTAAAGTTTTATGTTATCAAGTTGAAGTTCTTTAATTTTAGTTTATTTTTATTCTTCAGTGCAGTTGTTTTTGTACAAATTTAAATCGGCTTTTAAATTATTTATTTCTTCTTATTTTCTTTTAGTTCTAGACGTTGCACTTTAACTAGTTGCTCTGTTTTTTGTAATCTATTGGCCATTGAAGATAATAAATCTTAGTCTTATAATGAATTACGACTTTTTTGTTAATTAGGAAGAGGAGGAATGTTATTTTAACCAGTTTTTTTTGGAATATTTTTCGGTGTTATTTCTTGTTGTATGCTCTTAAGTATTTAATTTGTCATTTTTTCATCTATTTATGAATTTAAATTTGATAAACTTATTTTAGCAGCTTAATTTAAAATCGATTCTCTTGATCCTGAATGGGGTCTTTGAATAATTTTCGAAGAATTTTCAGTAAGCCTTTCGTTAGATTGTATTATATTAGAATTCCAAGTTTCTTTTATATCGAAGTCTTATTAATTATAAAACATAAATTAATTTTCTATTATAAATATAAGAAAATTTTTAATTTTTTTTATTTAAATATAATTAATATTAAAAGGAATAATATATAAATGTAAATGAATAATTTATATATATAAATTTAAATATATATATATATTTATATATATTTATATATTTATATATTTTTATTATGTATATTTTTTTTTTTTATATTTATTTATATATTTTTATATATATATATTTTTTTAATTTAAATAAAATTTTGTTTTTCATAAAATCTAATTATTTAATAGTCTTTAAATTTTTTTTTATATTTGATTTATCTTTCTTTTAACTTTAATAAATTGTTATAATGAATATTTTTTTTTAATAAATCATAATTTTTTTATATATATCAACATATAATTTTTAATAATTATATTTAATATAGTTAAAGCAAATTTCTTTAAATTTATGTAAATTTAATATATATCTAATTTTATTGTATTTTTTTTAATATTTTAATATTTTTAAATACTTAATTAACATAAAAATATGTATTTAACATTTTTTATTCGTATTTTTTTTAAAATTATTAAAAAAAATATTTTCAATAAACTTCTAAAATACATGAATTATCTAAATTATTTAAATAATATAATTAAAATTTTTTTAATGTTTAAATTCTTTTTTAAAAATTTATTTTTAAAGTTTGTAATTCATTTTATTTAATAAAATATGTTTATATCAAAAAATATTTTTTTTATTAAAATTGAATAATTAAAAATTAAAGATTAGAATATTTTTCTTCTTATTTATGAAAATTAAAAAGAAAAGAAAAGAAAAGAAAAAATTAGACTAATTTATGAGCATTTTATAAATTAAAAATAATAAAAAAAATGTAAATTTTATAATTTAATTAAGAAATAATAATAAAAAAATATTATTAAATTATAAAATAATATTTAAAACACATAAACATAAGATTTGAGAAAAAAAAAAGAAATATTAATGTTTTATAAAATAAAATAAATATATATATATAAATAAAATATAAATAAAATATAAAAAACATAAAAATAATAATAATATATAATTATAATAATAAAAAAATAATAATAATAATAATAATAAAATTAATAATAATATAATTATTAATTTTTATTATTTTTTTAAATAATAAGATAATTAATTCTTATTTTCTAAGTAGAGAAAAATAAATTTGATAAATAATTAATTTAATATATTAAGAAAACTATTGTTCAATTTTATATATAAATATATAATTAAATGTAAAAACCTTTTTTATATTCTTTGTTATATACATTTTAAAGAATTAAAAAATAAAATGAGTTTTATTTATTATTTAATTTTATCTTTTTAAATACATGGAAAATAACTAATGCAATTATAAATACATATTATTTATTTTATATAATTAAATTTGTATATACAAAAATATATTTATAATTTATTTTTTAATAAATTTGTTTTACTTTTTTTTTATTTAATTCTCAAGTCATAATAATTTAATAAAATTTCTTTAAAATTTTTATTTTTATTATGATTCTTTTATAAATTAAAAATTACAAAGACTCAAAAATATCATAATATTTCATATATATATAATTATTAATTATTTTTATATAAATACAAAAAAGATTAAAAAAAAAACTATTTTATTTAAAAATATTCATATATATAATAGCTAAAAATCGCTATTAATTCTTTATATATTTTTTTATATTAAATAAGAAAAAATAAGAAAAAATATATTTAAAATGAGTATGGCTGGTGATTTAATAGATTAATAAAAATAAGATAAGATATTCCAAAGGATTCTTAAAAGAGAAGGCAACTAAAATTGTGCTGATTGTGGAGTAAAATCTCCTAATTGGGTTTCTTTAGATTTCGGAGTATTTGTTTGTATGGAATGCTCAGGTAAAGAAAAAAAGAAAAAAGAAAAAACTAAATGAAAAAATTATAAAAAGGTGCACATAGGCATTTAAGTAGAAGTGTAACAAGAGTATATTCAACATAAATAGATAGATGGAATGAAGGAAATATAGAAATAATGGATTATGTAGGGAATGAAGTTGCAAATTAATATTGGGAATTTAAAAATCCAACAAAAAAAATACTTGCAAGTACTTCAGCATAAGATAGAATAAGATTTATTACAGAAAAATATATTCGTAAATAATATGCAGATCCAAGAGGTAGAAATCCAGTATAAATATTTATTGAAAATAGAGAAAAAGGAATTTTAGAGTAAAAAAGAATTTTTTTATTGTTTTGTTTAAAAAAATAAAAAATAAGACGACCTCTAACTAAAAAAGAAGAAAGAAGAAAATCAAACAATAATACTTTGAATATAAATAATGAAAATTTAAATAATTAAAAGAAATAATTTTTTTCTTAAAATAATGTTAATGTAGAAAATAATAAAAGTAAATTGAATTCTTGTATTTCTCCTAAATAAAAACATCATGAAGATTTAATTGATCTAAATAATATGGACGATGGATTTGGAAATTTTACTTAAGCAACTTTTTATGATAAAAAATAAGATTAAAAAAATATTTAAAATTAAAACTAAATCTAAATATAAAACTAAAATTAAAACTAAAACTAAAACTAAAACTAAAACTAAAACTAAAACTAAAACTAAAACTAAAACTAAAACTAAAACTAAAACTAAAACTAAAACTAAAACTAAAACTAAAATTAGGATGTTTTCAATCTTATGGATTTATATAATAATAATGGTACATGTACAAGAAAATATTATGATAATAAATAATAATAATAATTTAATAATTAATAGTAGTAATAGTGTTTAAATTAAAATAATTTCTAAAATAATAACAATTCTAATAATTTAATGAACATGTATTAAATTAATTAATAATAATAATAATAATAATAATAATAATAATTAACTTAGTAAAATAATAATTAAAATAGATTTTAAGCTTTTAATTAAATGGGAATGTATTAATAATAGTATTAATAATATTATTATTAATAATATAACCCTATGAATTTGACTAATAATTATTAAAATAATTATTAAAAATGATAATCTTTTTAATAAAAATTTTTAGTTTATATTGAATTTATATAGTAATAAATAATATTCATTTTTATTAATATCATTTATTTTTTATATATGAAAAAATACTTTATATAATTAAATTTAATATTTTTTAGTTTTATTTTTAGTTATATAATTTAACTTATTAATATTTTATATTTATTTTTATTTGTTATTTTTTTCTAAAAATGAAATAAATTGTTATAGATTTTTGTAATTTAGATGAAAATCATAAACAATAGTTTTTTGATCTTATTATTTCAAGCAATATTTAGGTTGATAAAAAATAAGTTAGTAATATTATGTCTTAATCAACTTTAAATTTATAATTGCATTAATAAGAAAAATAAAATAAATTTAAAGATTTTTTTATTTAAGCAAGTATAATATTTAAAATATATAAAATATAATGTATTTAATTTTATTTATAGAAAGTAAAAGAAATGAAATTAGAAATTTTAAAAGCAAATCTAAATATCCAGATAATTAAAATTTTAATAAAATTGATATAAATTAAATAATTCCTAAATTTAAAAATAAATATGATTTATTTTATAATTATATTTGTTAGGTTGATAAATAGATAAGACCTAACAAAATTAAATAAGGTCATATTTAATATATACTAATTAATGTTAATATAAAGTTAATTTTTTTAAAATATAAAGATTAATTATATAAAGAAATTGAACTTTTATATAGCTTAAAATTTAAAAAAGAACATTAAAGTATTTATAAAATGTTAACAGAAAAAAAAAAATAGTTTAAATTTTAAGCATTTGTTTTGAATTATTACTAAGAAAAATTTAAAAAAAAAGAATTAATAATAAGAGTAACTTATTAATATTAAATAATAAATATTTAATTATATATTTATATATATATATATATATATATATATATATATATATAAATATATATTTATAAATTTTTATATATCTATTTATTATTATTATATATTATTTTTTTTTATTTTTTTTATTTTTTTTATTTTTTTTATTTTTTTCAAAAGTACAGAATTTATTAAATTTACTTGTGAGTATATAATATTATGAAAATATTTCTATAAACGTATATATTTTTAATTAATTTTTAATCGAAAATTATGATGAGAATAGTTTTATTTTTTATCTGTTTTCGCGTTAGTATATATAAAATATAAGTGGAATTGAAATTTATTCTTGTAAAATTTAAATTTTATTTATATTAAAAATAAAATTTATATAAAATAAAGTATATAAAAAAATGTATATTAATCCATAAACAATAAAATTAAATATGTCTTAAATACAAAATATTTTAGCTTTGATTTATGGATTAAATAATAATTTGTATATAAAAAATTAATTAGATTAGATAAAATAAGAAGATTTAGAATTTTAAAAAACGAAAATAATAACTTCTGATAAACTACTCTAAATTTTAATATTTAATTATTTAAAAAAAAATAAAAAAAACAATTATTAATGCATTTCTTAATAATAAAACTAATTACATATTTCTTAAATAATCCAAAATTAAGAATTTATTTTAGATATGACTTTTGATGAAACTAAGAATTTAGACTAACATAACTAAAGTTAATTTAATTAATCGCAAAATAAATAAGAGAGTATTTTATAGAATATGATAAATAATAATTCATATGATAATTAATAAAATAGAACTGATAATTAGAATTAATTAAATAATTATTAATATAATTAAAATTAATAGGATTTATTATTAGATAATTTTATAAATTAAAATGAATAAAATTTATTTGAAGAAAATGATTATTATAATGTATAAAATTTACTAAATGATGATATGTTTAATGAATATAATCACAATTAAAATTAATCGAATTTATTAGAAAATAATTCCTAAAATTACAATTATTAATATATTGATAAAAATGATGAAAATATAAACTATGATGATATTAACAAATAATACTAAAATATAGATAAATAAAATATTGTTTCCTAAAATGTCTTTAAAAAATTAGATGAATTATTATATGCTATGCTTAATGATTTAAGCTATAAATATGTTTTCGAAATTAAAAACGTAAAAATTAATTATTAAACGATATTGGTGGGAAGTTAAATATACTTCTAAATTCTATTTTTAAATAAAATTAGTTTATATGGTGCGAAAATTGTGGTATTTTAAACCCAAATTAAGATTAATAAACCTACATGTAAATGTTATTTTCTAAATATAATGAATTAAAAGAAGATGAGTTTTAATCAGAAAGATTAACTTATTTAACTAAAAAAATTCTTTAGGTATTTAAACAAATTATTATTTATAAATACCAAATTATCATTTTTTATTTTTAGAATTAAATTTTAGCCTAAGAAATAACTTTTAGAATATAAAATTTAAATTTAGAATGAAAAAAAAAAAAAAAAAAAATTAAGAAAAAGTTTTCATCTTTAAGAATATATTTTTATATTTAATTAAATAATTTTTTTTATTATTTTTTCTTTTAATTTCATATTCTTATTTTATAATATTTAATCTAAAAAAATTAAATTATTTTTGTAATATATTATTAATATAGTAGTGCTGAAATTATATTTTTATTTATACTAAGTGTATTTTATACGGGTATATAATTAAAATAAAATAAAGTATAAAAATAATTTATAAATTAAAAATATAATAAAATAATAATAATTATAAATAAAATTAAATAATAAAAAATGCATTTAAGATATTATTTAAACGAAAAAGGTGAAAGAGTATACACACTTTCAAGTATTAATAATCAAGGAGTATAAACATTAAATGCACATCCAGGTATTTATTTTTTATATTTATATTATAATATCTGATTTAATTTAATTGATTATAAATTATAGCAAGATTTTCTCCTGATGATCCTTACTCAAAAGAAAGATATGAATGTTAAAAAAGATATGGATTATTAATTACATAATAACCAAATTATAAATATTGATTTATATAGAATTTCTTAATTTTTATTATTTTCATTTTTTTTTATTTTGTAATAATTTAACATATTTGGCTTATAAATTTTCATTTTTTAAATTCACTTAAAAAAATTTTCTTAAAATTTTCTTTAATATGTTTTTTTATTTTTTTATATAAAATTGAAGTAATAACATTCATTAAATTAAATTAAAAATTATATATATAGATAAAATATATTAATAATTATTATAAAAATAAATAAAAAAAAATATGAATAGCAATAATTTTATTAATCATATAGAACCTTAAATGAACCAAAGTTATTTTAATTATGTAATTTATTGAAAACGAACAAATTATAAAATAAGAAATTAAATATTTTTTTTTCCATTTTTTTTTTTTTTTAAATAAAAATATATTTTATTTTTATCGAGAAAAAAAAAAAAAATTAACTTGTTTTTACTTTTTATTGTTTTTATTTTTTAATTAAAAAAATAAAAAAAGGTTAATAACAACATCCATTCTTAATTTGATCCTTATTTAGACCGCTCTAGACAAAATTCTATTGAAAATTTTAACTAGTTAAATGTAACTAAATATAAAATTTATAAAAAATTATTTATTTTTTAATATATATCACATTAAAGCATTATTTATTTTATAATTTTTTTTTTTTTTATATAAAAATATAATATGTTAAAAAGATAAATATAAATATATATATTTAATTGTTAAAAATAAAGCACAATAATCATAATATTTATAATTTACAAAATATTCATGATAACTTTAATCATTAATATAATATTTTCTGCTTAGAAGGTTAACAAAAATAAATTATTTATATTTTTTTTTACATATATAAATAAAAAGAATAAGTGAGAAGAAGTTCTTTTAATATTCCTTATTAGAAAACATTAAATACAAATAATTAAACATAATAATATATATAATCGAATTTATTTAATAGTGAATAGCATAATAATAGTAGTAATACATTTATTTAAAAAAACATAAGCTATGAAAATATATTCCTTAACCCAGTAGAAATATAACTTTAATAATATAATAATTCTATAAACGATTTTAATAATATAAATTATATAAATTCAATTAATAATATTCATAATACAAATATAAATAAAAATATATAATCAAAATAAGAAAATATAACATCTCTAAATAACTTATTTGACGAATAAAATTCTAATAAACCTTCCCTATATACAATTAATAATTTAGATGTAATTTAAAAATAAAAATCTAATACAATATCACTTTCTGAAATAAAAGGAGTTTTTAAATAATTACCTCAAGCCTATTTACCTTTCAATGACCGAAAATGGATTAGTGATAATCATTAATTAGAATTTTTAAAGAAAAACTTTGCTTAAATAAGTTAAAATGATATGAATAAAATAAAAAATATAATTCCTTAAAATTATCAATTTTAATTTTAAGTTTTTAATCCGGAAAGCTTATTTAAAAATCATTTTATTTTGAATGGAATTATAGATAAATCATATAAAAAAATCGGAAATTTATCATATAAAGATAGACTTGATAAAGTTGAAAAATATTTAATTAAAAGAGAGAAGAAATTGTATTTTGTTTTGTTGTTAAAATTTTATATTTATAAAAATATAAATAAATTATAGGCAAAATACTAGAAAAAAATAAATAAAAACATAATGTGATGCAAGATAAAGAGTTGCTAATAGTAGATTAAGAATAAAAGGAAGATTTGTTACTAAAAGTTAAGCTTTAATTGTATTAGGAATTGAAAAAAACAATGATCTTTCATAAGAATAACTAAAGTATTTATTAAAAAAAACTATTTAATGATAATAAATTATATAATATAGTAATAAAATTAACAAAAAAAAAATATTAAATAAATTAATTAAATCATATATATGTATAATATATAATTTATTTATTTCTATTAATTTAAATTATTATAAAAAATTAATTATTAAACTAAATATTAAATTATATAAATATTTAATAAAAAATATATATATTTTTTTTCCTATAAAACACTCTTTTTTATACTATTGTTAATTAAATTTAATAGTATATTTATAATTTCATTAGTAATAATCTACTTTAAAAAAAAAAAACCTCTAAAAAAAATTATCTTTATTTATTTATTATTTTTTTTAAAAAAATTAAATAAAAAAAAAATGAAAATTTAGTAATTATAAAATATTTTAGAAAAAATAAATATACCATTTAATAAATAAAAAATATAAATATAAGATATAGACTAATTATCGCCTAATACAAAATTATAATTATGTATAAAATTTATGAATAACCCTTCTATATAGAGAACTTCTTTTGAACAAAAAATGATTGAATAACTATTAGAAACATTATAATATGTTCAAAAAAAAAAAAAAATAGATAATTCTTTCGCAAAAAATATGTCAAAAGTAGTCACTCACGAAAAATATTAAAAAGGAGAAATTATATTCTATTAAGGGTAATAACCTGAAAATTTATATTTGATTTTAAAAGGAAAAGTAGCTGTATTAATCAAAAAAACAGAAGCTTAGTTACAATTAGATCGTAAAAATGGAAAAATAGTTTATTTTTAATAAAACTAACAAGAAAATAATAAAGAAACATAAAATAGTACCCAATAATAATAATAAAAAAATATATTTGTAAGACAATAGACCATAACTTATTAAACTTAGGAAAAAACAAAAAATTCATTAGATGAATTAATATAAAATAATAATAATTAAGACAAAGAAGAAATAATCTAAAAATATATTAAAAAAAAGAAAAATAAAGAGAACTTTTATCTGAATAATTAAACTTATATACAGATGAAGTAAAAAATTTAGAATCTTTATATATAAATGGTATTTTTTGGTATTATTATTAGAAAGACATTAAGTATTTATTTTTAAATTTATAATTTATCTTTTTTAATTTAAAATTTTAGTTAAGGTGAATCTTTTGGAGAACTAGGTCTATTATTAAAGATGCCTAGAAGTGCCACTATAATCGCTTTGGAAGATACTGATTTGTGTGTTTTATCAAAACATGATTATTAGAATATAATAAATTATTTGGATAGTTTGTTATTATAAAAGTAAATTGATTTTTTCAAATAAGTGTTAAAATTCGATTTAAAATAAGAACAATTTGGTACTCTAATTACTGATTTTTCTAAAAAAAGATAATATATAAAAGGCCAATATATTTTTAAGGAAAAAGATGAGGCAAATGAAGTTTTAATTATTAAAAAAGGAGAAGTTTAACTATAAAAAAATTAAGAAAAAAAAAAATTTGAATTTTGTGTTATTGGAAAGTATGAAATTCTTGGAATTGAAGAAATCTTTTAAAAATAATAACTTAGGGATTATAGTGCTTTTTGTTTAAATGAAGTTAAAGTCTATTATGTTAATAGACATTTATTTATTAGATTAATGTATGAAATTCCTAATTTAAAAATTATTATGTAATAAAGAGCTATTAATAAGTATATGTAGCATTAGAAAAGTATTTAAAATATTATTTTGGAAAAAAAAATGAATAAGAGTAATAATAATAAATTTTAGTTTAAATTAATTAATAAAAATTGAATATTTTTAATAATGATAATAATAATAATTTTAAGGTTTAGATAAAAAATAAAGTAAAAAATCAATATTTTATAGATTATCTATATAATAATGATGAGAAAGATAAATAAATTATATAATAATAATTAAAAAAATAAGAAATATTTGAACAGTTTAAAGTAGATGATAATAAAATATACAATAATAATATATAATAATGTCGTATTTAATCATTAAGTAATTTGAATTGGTTTAATGTAGAAAAAAAACAGGAATTTGAAAAAAATATTATTTTTAAAATTAACTTAAATAAAATATAAAGAAGTAAATACAAATAAAATAAAAGCACTACTTTTACAAATATAGTTAATTAAAGTGTATAAAAAACAATTAATAGTATAACAGAAACAAAAAAAATATATAATTCAACTCAGATTTTGAAAAGTATTGATAAAAATTCAATATTTGAAAAGTCTTTAAAGTAATAGTCTTTAAAAGCTTTATAGTGTGTCTCATTATAAAATATACCAACAAAAACTATTATTTAATGCGATAAAAATATTCCTAATAGATCAATATAGACTAAATATGTGTAATTCCCTTAAAAATTTTAAAATAAAATTAGAAAAAATTATTGTAGCAATATTCAATAGACATAAGAAAATATTGATTATTATTTTTGATTATAATTTTTAATATAAATATATTAGAAAAAATATATTATATAAAATATTAACATTATATTAAAAGAACTTCAAATATTATTTTTTATATCTGAATTATATCTATTTATATTATAATTATATTAGTTATAATAATACATTTTTAATAAAAAAATAAATTAATATTCTATAAAATAAAATTATTTTTTTCATATTTAATTTAAGAAAAATAATGATTTTATACATATTTTTGTATTATAATAATGCTTCGTTTTAAAAATTTATAATATATATTGTAATTTTGAATTTTTAAAAAGATAATATCGTAAAAATTATAAATAAAATTATATTATCCATTTATAATATATATAAATTTTATTAAAAATATATTAAATATTTTTTTAATAATATATAAAATAAAAATTATATTAAATAAAGTTATTATCTTAAAAATGTTATATATATAGAAATTAAATTTTACTTTTTTATAATTAAAATTATTTAAATAATATAATTTGAATATAAAAAATAGTATTATATTGATATTTAATAAACGATATTTTTATAATTTTATTCTATTATATTAATTAAAAAATATTATGTATATTCTGTAATATAACATTTAAAATTAAAAAATTAATTTCATAAATATAATAATTTTTTATATTCTTTTAATTAATTTAGATAAAATGAATAAGAAAATTGGTTTATATTTTAATTTCATATATTAAATATAATATTTATGTATAAATAATATATTATATATATAGCAATTATAAAAATTAGCTAACTTACAATTAGTTATAACATTTTAATAAATTTAATTATAAATTAAATTTATATGAATATATATTATTTTTTAATATTTATATAATTCAAATAAATTAATAAAAATAATATATATTAAATTATAAGTATTTTGTTTATAAATATTAATAAGTTAAATAAATTAATGCTATTTTTACAAACTAATTTTTTAATTATATTAATTTAATTAAATAAAAAATTAAAATTAATATTAAAAATAAATAAAAAAAAAGAAGAGTAAAATTAATATTTAAATTGATTTAAAAAAGTATAAAATTAAAAAAAACAAAATTATTTAGATAATATCAACTACGAAATTATACTTCATAAATATTATAAAATAATGATTTTATATTATATAGAATTAAATATATATTTGATATATTAACATAAACAAAATATTTATAATTATTAATTAATTATCTTAATGAAAAAAAAAAAAAAAAAATTATCTTAATCTTAATCTTAATCTAATTATATTTTTATTTTTCTTCCTGAAAAAAATCTAAAAAAAAAAAAAAAAATATTTATTTATTTAAAATAAAATCCATAAAGGAAAAAAAAATCCACTTTTTTTAGCCAACTAAAAAAAAAACTTAAAATTGATTAAAGTAATTTTGAAGAATTACTTATATATATATAATTATAAATAAAAAAAACAAAATAGTTTCTGTTTCAATTAATTAAATTGCTTATTTTATTAAAATAAAAGGGAAATAAAAAAATGTCTAATTAAACAACAAAGCCAAAAAAGTAATTAAAGCTAAATAATAAAGAATTCACAGTATAAGAATTAGAATAAACAAATAATTAGCAAACCAACACATAATTTGGAAATTAAAATGAAATCTAATTAAATAATAATAATACTCTTCCATATTATAATTAATATTAATAAAATTAATTTGTTCAACAAACTTAATATGTAAAATAATAATAATAACAGTAACCTTAATTTAACCAAAATAGTTCTTATTAAAATAAATAAAACTTTAATACTCATTATGTGATATAACAAAGAAATTAATAATAAGAGAACTAATAAGTTCAATAAACATAATAACAATAATAAACTCAATAAATATAATAATAATAATACTAATAATAATATTAATAATAATAATAATAATAAATTATTTAGACCATTTCTAATTAATAAGAAGGAGTAAAAAACCTAAAAAATAATTAAAATTACATAGTATGGCATTTAAAATCGAACCTTAAGAAACAATTAAATAAAATGAAGATTTAAAAAAAAAGCAAGAAGAAGAAGAATAAAAATAAAAAAAAATTGAACTTGAACAAGAAATTTTATAAAAATAATTATAAGAAAAAAAGAAAAAAGAAGAAGAAGAGCAAAAATAAAAAGAAGAAAAATTAGAATAAGAGAGAATCCGCCAAGAAATTGAAGAATAGTAAAAAAAAAAAAAACAAGAAGAAGAAGAAAAAAAGAAAAAAATAGAAGAAAAACAAATAAAAACATTAACTTTTGACTTAATATAGTACTTTTTAACAATTGAACCTCAATTTGAGCTCTAAAACAATCCCGCACATATTTTTGATACAAGAATAATCTAATTTAACTCCCGAACTTATACCGACAAAATTTAAAATAAACCTCAAAACTACCCAAACCGTTCCAGTCAACCCCGAACCTCTTATAACCCTAACTATAATAAAAATAACGGAAATTAATAGCATATTAGATAAGAGGGTAAAAGCAATACTTTTGTTTAATAGAATCATGATATAATCATAGAAAGAACTAAGGAAGATAAGGATGTGGTAGAAATAAAAATGAAAATTAAATAGAATGCTGCTAAATTTTTAGACCATATGAGATAGGAAAAATTAGATTAGAATAAAAAATAAATCAATGATATTAGGCTTTGGTTAAACATTCTGACACCTTCTAATTTCGAAGATCTTAAAAAATCACTTTTTAATTATATTAAAGAAGAGGTACTTTGTGAGTGCATTGTAGAAGGTATTATTGAAAAGGCGAGAACTTAGAAACTTTATACTGGAGTTTATGCTAATTTATGTAAGTATTTGATTCTTGAGTCGAAGTTTGTTTTTAAGAAAGATGAAAATTAACATAATTATTTTAAAAATCATCTTATTACGAATATTTAGTAAACTTTTTAAGGGGAAAAAAGTATTTTTGAAGGAAAAATGACTATTAAAAAATAAAGTTTTTTTTTTTTTGCCTATATATTTTATTTTTTGGAATTTATTTATATATTATTTATTTATTTTTTTTAAAAAAAAAAAAACAGAAAAACTTGAAGAAATGAATGAAGATGAGAAAAAACAATATTTTGATGAAAAAAAAAAAAGGGAAATGCTTAATTTAAGATTTATTGGCTGTTTGTATTTAAATGCTTGTATTAATCATTAAGTTATGTAGATTTGTATTGGTGAACTTATTAATAGATATGTAAAAGAATATTGTGAATTAAGCGAATAATAAATTAAAAACGAAGAAGTCGAAGAATCTCATTTTGAAGATCATTTAGAAGGATTAATCTTATTATTAGATTAGACAGGTGAAAGATAATGTGAAAGAATTAAAACAATTAAAGAAACAAGTAAATAATAATAATAAAGATAATAAGAATTAAATGAAATTAACCTAAATTTAATAAATTGTCTATAAAAAAGAGAATATTAAGAACTAAATTTTGAAAAATTAGAATATAATGAATATTTTTAATTGTAAAAAAAAAAAAAAAAAAAACTTAATTTTTAATTATTTAAAAATAACAAAAAAATAGTTTATAATGGTTAATATAAAATAAAAAAGTATCTCCAAGAATAGATTCTTTAACCAAAAATTTAATGGAAAGAAAAGAAAATAACTGGAAAGAAAGAATAAGTGATTAAGCTAATAAAGGTCCCCAAGATCAAGATACTATAAGAAAAGAATTCGACGAAGAAAGAATGAAAACTAAATTAGAAACTGAAGAATATTTCAAATAACAACAGGAATATTAATAAAATAATTAAAGATATAATTAAAGAAATAATCAATAAACTATTTATGTACAAAAGTAACCAAGTACAAGTGGGAAATAAAGAGTTTAAACTTAATAAGAAGAATTTAAAGAAGTTACAAATGCTTAATAGAAGAATCTATCAGAGGAAGATGGAAGAAATATCGCAAAGGAAATTTGGGGACATTTGGATAGCTAGAAAAAGTTTTAAGAAGACTATGGTATATAAAGTGCAATTAATGATTTTAAAGAATTAACTAGTTTATTTGACCCAGTACTTTATGGATAAATTCTTATCAAAACTGTGTATAATTGTAGTGTTTAGTTTAAGGAAAATAGACTTTCTGTGGCAAATGAAGCCATTAAATTTATTAAACCAAATGAATTTGTGTAGGCTATGAATGAAAGGCTTAATAAAAGTAAAAATGAGAGTGCTGATTTCCCACTTTTCCTTACATTTTTATCTAAAATATTTGTTGAGTTTTATACTAAGGGAAATGCGAGCTTTAAAGACATTTAAGTTAAGTTTAAAGATGACTTTGATGAAGATGATAAGGAAGACCTTGTTTTTGTCTTTAAAGAATTCTTTAAAGAATGTACTGAATTGATTAAAGATTAAGTATTTTATTTTATTTTGATGTTTTTTTTATTTAAAATGCTTTTTTATTTTTTTTATAGGAAGGGTTTGATGCTGAGAAATTATTAAATGAATAAATCAAATTTGTTTTGGAAGGTAAGGATGAATATTATAGTCTGTTTGAAAAAGATTATTTAAAATAGTTTAAAAAAATATGATTAAGATATATATACATAATATATTTATATATTTTTTTTTTTTTTTTTTTTTTTTTTTCGGATGTAATTTGTAATACAAAATATATGTAATATTTAATTTAATATAGTTATATGAAATTATATTTAAATTTAATATTTAATGATACTTATATAAATGTTTAAAATATTTATTTAATCTTTTTATATTTATATTTTTTTAAAAAAATTATTAAAAAAGTATATTATAAAAATGGATTAGTTTAAAGAAATTTAAAATAATAGTTAATATGCTTAAAAATTATAATATACAAAAAATGATTCTTTAAAAGAAAGCAAATCAAATAGTAAATTTTAAAAGTTAAAACAAAAACAAAATCTATTAATTATACTTTTTTAAATATAAAAAAAGAAAACGATAAAAACTAAAAAATGATTGTTTCAACGGGTCAAATATAATATTCAAACAAATAAAACGATTTATTTAATTATTAAAACCATGATAATTAAAAAATCGAGCAAAATGAAATTGAAAAATCGGATAAAAGTGTAAAAGATAATAATGAATTTAATCAAAATGATAAAGAGCAAAATTAATGTTATGATACAATAAAAGAAGAACATAAACAAGAAAATTAAATTTAATAAAATTAAGATAAGAAGAATTCTTTAGAATAAAAAATTTAATAACAATAATATTAAAATTAAGAATACTAGTAATATCAAATATAAGAAATTTTATAATATTAAGGAAGTAATAATAATGGTAAATATGAATAATACTAAAGATCATATTAAATGATTGCTTTAAGGAAAATATTAAACAAAGATAGAATACTAGCTTAAAATATAGAAAAAGAATATGAAATATATATAAAAAACGAAATTGAATTTTGTAATAAATTAAAATAATTAATGGGTGTTTTAGAAAATAAAATTGCGAAAAATGAAAATATTAAAGCCACTTCGGAGGCAATGTAATATTTTGCAAAAGCGTAAATTAATTAAATATTTGAATATTTAAAATATGTATTACTTTTTTAATTTTGATATTTATAAGAACATATATTTTTTAAAATATTATAGATAGATTTTTTAAACACTAACTGTATTATTTCGATCTAAACTTTTGTAAATGAAATTAAATAATTCGAATTATTAATTTAAGACTTTGAAAATAAATTACAAAAACATTAATTTAATAAATAAAATTATTTAAAATCTAAAATTAATAATAAAGATACTATTTCATATTAGATTTTTTAAAATTCCTAAATTGAAACTGAATAATGTGGACTTAATTTAACAAATAAATTAAAATAATATATAAAAAATAGAAACTCTGAATTTAGAGTGATAAAATATTTTTTTTTACTTAAAATTATTTCTTATTTTATTTATTTTTAAATAGGATATATCACTTCATTTGAACTCTTAATTAGTTAATTATCACGGAAAAAGTGTTTAATATTATTCAGCTTATTTTCTAAAACTATTTCAAATAGATACTAAAGGAAATCCATATTAAGATAAAAATTAGAAATATGGAAAATAGCCTTATATTTTGTAATGTAAATAAGTTTTATAAGAATTATTGTAAGATAATAGGATCGATGATTATTTATATACAGAATTCGAAGAAAGTAATTAAATTATATAATAGGAAAATATTAAATAAGAAGAATTAATTTAATAAAAAATTAATGAATAATATTTAAAGTTAAATTTAAAAAAATAAGAATTAGATAGTGATAAATAAAGTGATATTAATAATATTGATTTTGAAGGAAAAAATAAGGTTAATTATTAAAGAAATAGTTATAAAAATAATGATCATAACGAAGAATAAATTTAAGATAGTTCTATTAGTAATCCTATAATGATTTCTTTAGAAAATAATAAAAATATTACTTTATAAAATATACCAGATTTAACCAAAAAATCAAATAAAAATAAATGATTTTATAAAAAATAAATTTAATTGAAAACATAAAAAAAAAAAAACATATATAAAAATATTTATATTATATTTATATATATATATATATATATATATATATTTTATATATGTTTAATTAATTATTATTATTTTTTTTTCTTTTTTATCTTTATTAAAATATATTACACAAATATAAAAAATTAATACAATCCGATTACCAATTTTTATTTATATTATATTTTTATTAATATATGTTTTTAAATTATTTTATTATTTAACTTTTTTTTTTATTTTATATTTGCTTATTTTTTTTTATAATTTAGTTTGTCCTAATTATGAAAAAAAATTTAAATATAAATTCAATTTTTTTTATTTAATTTAGAATCTTTTAATTTTAATTATATAGTTTATTTATATGTAAATAATTAGATTATTCTTCTTATACTTATAACTCATAATATAAATTTATTGTTTAATAATTTGTTACTTAAATATTAAAAAAATGTTTATTTAATTTTTTTATTTATAACTTAAATATTACAATAAAAACATAATATATATTTTTTACTATAATAAAAAATACAGATATTTATTTATTTAAAATACAATTATAAATATTTTTTTATAAAAATATACATAGTTTATTAATTTTATCAATAAATTTTTTTGCCTTTTTACATTTATTCTATCATCTCTTCAACTAAATCTTCAAATATATAATCACTTAATTCCATAACAAATTCAGTTTTTTCGTCTTCATATAATTACCATTTATAATCGTTTTCGTAAATCTAAAAAAACAAAAATTTTGAAATAAAGGAAATATATATAAATTACATCAGTTAATAGCATTCTAGAAAGCCTTTCTTCTCTACATTAATTAAAATACTCATTTTCCTATCTATCATTATATTCCATTAATTCTATAACATAAGACTTTTGATTGTTTTTATATTTATTAGAATCTTTATTGTTATACTTTTCATTTTCATTAATAATGCCACACAAAAAAGAAGCCCATTCAATAGCTTTCTTAATGCTATTTTCTTCTATCCATTTAAGATTTTCAAGTGTTATTTGCTATTTAATAATATTTTTTTCACTTTTATGCCAAGGATATGGAATCCCACTTAAAGTAAAATAAGGTCTAAAAATATTTAAACATTCATTCAACGTATCGAAAATAGCTTTGTTATGTATATGTTAAAATTCATTAACAATTTATTATTTTTAATCTTTTATTTATTTCTATTTTTTATTTTTATTTAAAAAAATAAAAAAAAATGTTTAATATTAAAAATACATCTTAACTATTTTCAAAATTAATAAATAAGTTTTCATTTAAAACAAAAGGTAAACAAACATTTGAATTAAATTAAGATTTCTCATCTTTTTCTCCATTAGGTATTTGTAAAAAGTTATCATACCCATGTATTAGTTTGAGTCTTTTTTCTGGACTAAATCCAAACGGGGTATTTATATCTCTAACAAATTATTCTTTTTAATTTTAGAATATATACTTATAAAGCTCAACCATATATTATTCAATAATATATAAGTTTGTAGGAATTCCAAAACTATCATCTTATTTTTAAATTTAATTTTTATTTAATTATTAATTTAGTCTTTCTTCTACTTGTGCATTCATTAACCATTTTTCGTTAATTTCTTCATTTATACTCATAGTAGTATATATAGCAGGAGGTGTTTTATATATATTTAAATCTTCTTTTTTTTAATTTAGATTTTGATTTTATTAAATTTTTTCATCTACTTATTAATTTATTATTAAATAATATTCGGGATGAAAATTGTCACTTTATTAAGAAATTTTTTATTGAATCTTATTACTTTTGTTTTGATCTTCAAAGAAAACTCCATTTTACCCCTTTTAAAAAGATTTTTTATCATTTTTTTCGCAAATAACTTGCTTTTTATTAATATTGCTTTGTTCTGGAGTAATTTCTTTATTTTATACGAACATTTTTTCATTTATGAACCTTTCTATGTATATTTATTTTATAAATAAAATTAAAAATAAAAAAAAAAATACCATTTTTATTATTTTTTTCTTCATTAGAAGTAAATAATTTTTATAAATCTTTTATTTTAGATTTTTATTTTTTATTTATTTCTTTGTTTAGTTTCTTTTCTTATTATATTTAATTATTAGTAGTTATTTAAATTTTTTATTGACAATCAGTATTTTCTCCTTTATCAAGAAAAGAATTATTATTATTATTATTATTATTATTATTATTATTATTATTATTATTATTTTAAAGTATTTAATTAACTAATTATATTTAAGGTTTATTTTTTGATATAGATTAAAGTTCTTATAATTTTATAATTTATTCAATTTATTATGTTTTGCATAAATCTTTAATAATATTTTCATTAAATTTTTTAAAAGAATCACGATCAAATAAGGCATTGTTGTTATTATTTTTTTAATCATTTATTGTGTTAGCTAAAGATTACTAAGAGTTTTAAATAATATTTAGCTATAAATCAGAAGAAGTACTATTACTATTATTTTTATTATTATGATTATTAATTCTATTATTATTTTAAGAAATTTAATTTTAAAAAACATCTTAAGAAGTTAACTGCTTTTTAGATGTTGCAAGAATTTCATTAACTAATAATAAATATAAATAATTTTTATTTTATTCTTCATTATAATTATTATTTTACTCTTTATTATTATTTAAAATAATTTTTGGATTATTATTTTAATTTTATTAAACTTATTTTAATATATCTTGATTTTATTTTTCTACTAATTATTTTTTATTTTATTCGGTCTATTACTATATTAAGCTTAGAATTTTTTTTTTAATCTTAATCTGAATCTATAGCTTTACATAAATATTAAGATATTTAATTCCATTTTTATATTTCCATTTCTCTCAATTCAATTAATTCTTATTGATAGTTTTATAATTTATCTAAATATATATAAATAAATAAAATACATGAACAAAAAAAAAAGCATATTACCATTTTCATCAATTTTTTTAAATAGGCTTAATTATTAACTTTAAGATTAATCTTTTTTAGCATCTTCATTAGTATCAACAGTCGAAGTATTTAAAGATTTAATAGTCGATATATTAATAACTTTATCTTAGTTTTCGAATTCTTTATTTGCACTTTCATCATTTTAAAAATTATTATCAAATAGGTTTTTTTTTTAATAATTTGGACATTATCTAGAATTTTCATTTTCTGTTGTAAGTAAAAAATCTAATAGAACTTTTCTTGTATTATATCCTTTCCAAACTTTTTAAATATAAGTAGCACAGCTATTTATATAAAACATATAATTATCTTCTTGTGATTATTAAGTTTCGTCTTGTTTTTGAACTTAATCAATTATCTTGATTTCCTCTTAATTTTCTTTTTTTTTTTACATTTTTTTAAATTTATGATCTATTAATTATTATTTCTTATATTTTTTTCTATATTATTTTTTAAATTTTTTTAATTAATATTTGGCTCTTATTAATTATTTGTTTTACTTGTAAATTCTTTAAATCTATATAATATCTCTTCGTATTATTTTTTAACAGTATTTATTTGTTTTTCTTTACTTTTTTCTTTTTCATTATTATCTTCGATTGTTTTTTAATTGGGTCTTTCTAAAGACGCCATTATTTTTCTATATTCTTCATGTAGTGATTAATATTTATCTAAATCTTATTAAGTTTTTAAATTTATAGTTTTATATTGCTATTTTTTTCAACACTTTTATTACTTATAGAAGTTTTTAATTGATTTTTCAAGTTATATTTATTTATTTTTATTATATTTTATAATGCTGTATTTTACAAATTTATTTTATGTTTATATTTTATACATTTCTAAACTATATTTTATATTTATAATTAATTTTAAATTTTTCTTTTTTTCGAGTTTTATTCATTTTATATTTAATCTTTTTCTTATAATTATATATTTTTTAAATAAAAAAAAAATTAAATATTAAGTATACCTTTTGATTTTAATTAGCTATGCTAGTTGTTACTTGTTTTAATATTTGCAGATTTATCATTATTTTTATTATTATTTTTAACAAGAATACAATCAGATTAATTTACTTTTTCAACATTTTTTTAGTTTAATTTAGATATATTTTCACTTTTTTCTTAAATTAATTTTTATTATGAAATAATTTTTTACATAATATTATTTTATTATTAAGTTTTATTTTTAATTATTTTTTAATCATTTAATATAATTACTTTTTTTTTTATATTTTTGTTTTATTATTTAAATTCCTAATATTTGCTTAATTTTTGATTTTCTTTTAAAACGTTTTTGTTTTCGACTTGATTATTTTATATTTTAATTTATTTTATGCTTTTTTAAAATTCTTCTGTTGAGTTGTTTTTCGCAGACTGTTTTTATTTACTACTTTTGCTAATATTATTATTTTTTTATTTTTTTAATTAATTTAAACAATAATCTAAATATTTATCTTTTTAAGTTATACTACTATCTTTTTATTATTCTTTTTAGTTATTTTTATCTGGAGAAGCATAAAAAAACTTCTAAATAGATTTATTTTAAAAACCTTTTGTATCATTACTATACAAATTTATTGCAGATTAACTTTAAATTGTAGATGGCGATAAAGATTTATATAAATTTGAAATATTAAAATTATTTTAAAGGATATTTGTGGATTAATTATTATGGGATAAATTAACAATATAATTTAATTTTTATCGTTACTTTTAAGTGTTTAATTATTTATTTATTGATTATTATTAAAAATCTTCTTTTAAAAAAAACTTTTTATAATCAGTTATCACTTTAGGAAATTTTCCTAAAAAATTTTTTAAATTTAAATGTTAATGGGATATATAATTATATATTTTTTTATTTGAAAAAGATTATTATTTTACTTGAAAAATTCGAATCTTTTTAAATCACGACTTAATTATTTAAAATCTAATCTATTTTTTTTCCAATTATTTCTTCTTTACTTTTTTACATTTTTTTTTATCCAAAAATAATTACAAAAAATTATACTTTTTGCTTTTCGAATTTCTTTTATAACTCATTTAAATATATTTTTATTTAAAACTTTATTTATCTCTTTAAAGTATTTTTAATTTATATTATTCTAAGTTGTTTTTTTTTTTTTAATTAAAGAAAATTATTTAAATATTTATTTTTAAAAAACTATTATTTTAGTTTTACAAATTTTAATTAAAATAACAAAACAAATAGTAAAAAATCACAAAAAACTTAATAAAGTTTTATAAATTAGAATAATAATAATAAAATCCAATAATAATTTTTTAAATAAAAAAATATTACATATATTAATGAAACAAAAATATACAATTTAGATATTATTTATTTTTTTCATTATTTTTTATTTTTTAAATAAATTAATCTATTTTTAATATTTTTATAATTAAATAATTACATTTACTTTATTTTCCATTTTATTGATAATATTTAATAATTTACCAAAAAATACAAGATTTTATAAATTCCCAAATAATAATATCAAATAATAAATTAATTAAATAATATCCTAAAAAGATAAATAATAAATAAAAAAAATATAAATAAATTAATTTAAAGTAAAACAATTTTATTATATATATATTTTTTTTATAGATTAAATTATTTTAAAGAATTTATTTATAAATTTTACCTAACCATCTATTCACTCTGTTTGGTGAATAATTAGAAGAAACACTAAAAACACAATAATAAAAGAAGCACCATAAACTAAAAAGGATAAAAGATCCCAATTTATTATATCTATAATTAAAAATTAAAAGAACTATTATTTCTACAATAAAGAAAGTATAATAGCATACTCCGCTTAAAAAAAGATTCTATAAAATATTAAAACTATTATTTTCTTAATCTAGTTTAGACTATATATTAAAAAAAAATAAAAAAGTATATCAACGATAAAAAAAATACCCTAAAAATACAGTTTACTGCTAAATAATATTAGATTCTGATATAATAAACACTTATTTTTATTTACTTTAATCTATCTTAGAAGAACCAAAATAGCATGATTAAATTATGAACAAGTAAAGCTCCTCTAAACCAATTCGTAAGTTTGCTTTAATAATTGTATATTTATTCGGAAAATCATTATTTATAGATAAATTCAAGCTTTTTTATTATTATTAATTTTATAATGATTTTTAAGAATTAACTTCCATATTTAAATTGATTATTTCGTTTTTACATTTTTAGCATAGAAAAAGATTTGAGTATGTTTTATCCTAAAGATCTAATTATAAATTGCTTTGCGGTATTTCAAAATAGTCTTATTTTTTAGATTAAGATTTAATTTTTTTCAAGTTTTATTTTGTTTATTATTATGGATATAGTATATTATGTTTACTATTTTCATTAATTCTTATAGATTTTGATTTGTTTCTTTTATTTTTGTTATTTTCAATTTATTCATCATCTTCTTCCTCTTCTTCATTTACTATTTATAATCGTTTTTTTTATAATCCGTGTTATATTATTTGACCGTTTTGTATTAAAGGAAGTGATATACATTATCTTTTAACTTTTGTTTGATTATTATTTTCTGAAATACTTTATAAAGAGTTAATTTAGTAAAAATGGTTTTCCAATATATTATTTTTTTTAATGAATTTTTATTTATTTATAAAATCGTAAAGGATATGTTAATCAACATTATCTTTAGATTATTATTTTTATTTATTCTTATCATTTTTAAGTTTATCATTATTTTTGTTTACTTGAACTTTGATTGGATCTAATTTAACATTATATATATTTTTTTTTAAATTATCGTTTCGATAAACGCCATTATTAATTTGAACTTCTTAATTTGTATTTAATTTTTCTTAATTTTTATTTGCACTTTTATAATTTTTTATTTCAATTTAGTTTAAATTAATTATATTTTATTATTTTTAATTATCATTATTTTATTAATTTTTATTTTATAAATTATTTTGAATAACACATTCTGTATTTTGAGTTTAGCTGTATTTCTTAGTAATTCGATTTTCTTTTAATATAGTAATTTCAGTATTTCGTTCATTAATATTTTTTTGCTTAGTTGCTACATAATTTTTCACATTCAAATCGTTTTAAGATTAACAATTAACTTACTTAAGTAATAAAAGATTTTTTTTTTTTATTCCTTTAATAACTTATAAGTATTAAAATAATTAAAAAAGCAGTAAATTAAAATGCTGCATACCAAATTACTATATAATTATACCACTCAAGACTTTCAAAAAGGTCTTAAATATTGTCTTTATCGATGATTTCTTTTAAATTTTTATTTTTAAAAATATCAAAAAAACTTTACACAACAGTAACAGGACCTTTATTATTTTAACAAATGCAATGCACTTAGAACTAAAATTTTAATAAAGTAGTTTTACAATTATCCTCATTCCATTAAAGTTAATTCTATTAATTTAAATTATTAAATTAAATACATGTAAAGCCTTCGAAATTACTTTAACTTTTTTAATAATTAAGTACATAACTTGTTTCTTTATTTACTAAGTTGTAGCTTTTAGAATCCACTATTTATATTTCCTTTATGGGGGTTATTTATTTATATTCTTTAGATAATTCAGCAAATGGGTTGTTTTGATATTCGTAGTTTATTGTATAATACATAAGATTTTTAGTTTTTTCTTCAATTATTGTATCTGTTTTAACATTAAAAGCATTTCCAGAATAAGAAATATTTTCATTTTTGAAATATTGTAAGCATTAAATTAATAGTTAGTTGGTAAAAAGGATAACATTTTATTAATCTTATTCATTTTTTATTGTCAAAGCTAAAGACATTTTATCTAAATATTCCAAAAGCGAATAGCAATAGTTAATACATAATTTTAAATGCTCTTCGTAATCTTAATATTCATATTATTAGTACATTTTTAAAATATCAATTTATTTAGTATAGAATTCTTTCAGTTTTTCATAATTAATTTAAAAATTTTCATTTTAGATGTTTGCTTGAATTTCATAACAATTTTTTATGATCTAAAAAATATTCATTTTCTAATCTCCTTTATTCAAAGTCATTTTTTCGTAAAACTTTTCTGCTTTTTTGCACATTTCTTTTAATTGTTTTTCGTCTAAATTATCTATACCAGTTTATCCTTCTTATATCTAGTTATATTTTTATTAAACTTACTTTATTTCCATTAAAATTAACCATTCTACATTTTTTGATTCGTCTGTTAAATTTTCTGTAGGTTTAATTTAAGAATCATTTTATTAAACAAAAATTTTTTTTTTAATAGAAATGCTTCCTTCTAAATTTTCAAAAGCTTAACATTCAATTGTAAATTCTCCTTAAATAAGATTTAAAGTAATGACATTTTCTATTATTTTATCTTTAATTATAAATTTTTAATCATTTTGATATAAAATGAAACTATATAATAATTAATTTTAAGCTTAAAAAGGCACACAATTATTTAGATAAACTTAGAAATCAGAATTCTAATAAATTTCAGGAACAGAAATATCAATAGAACAATTTTTAGGTGGAATAATTAATTTTAAAAAAATAATTTAATTAACATCTGCACTAGTATTTAAAAGAGTGAACTTCAAACTTATTGAATTTTAATTTAAATCGTTAATTTATATATTCTCGAATACATTTTGCATTTAAATTTGTAGTTATGAACTTGAATAAATTTATTAGTAAATTTCTTTATCATTATAAATAAACTAAATTTTATATTAGAAGTTATCCAATGCATTTTAATAAAAGACTTCTAAATAAATTATTTGATTTTATGTTATACCTTTAATTAAATAACTATAATCGTAAATTACTTTTAAAAATTCTTAAGGGCGATAATCATATTTATAATCTGTTTTTTACTTAAATTATAAAAGTATATCGCTTTTTAATAGCTAATAATTTACATTTTATTAAGCTTTTACTTATAAAAAAAATTATTTTTAAGATTTTATATTTTAAGGTTTTAAATTTACAATAGTTTAATCATAACTAAGATCTAGTAAAGTTTCATTTGCTTATTCATATTATTATTGATCATTTAAGTAAAGTATATTATATTTAACTATTATATTGCTATTATTTGAGAAATTTTCTGTATTTAAAAGTTAAAATTTAATTTCAAAATATCTCTAAAAACTTATCACGTCAACATAATTTTCGGGAATTATTAATAATTAAGGTTTATTAGTTATTAGAGTTAAATATTTTTATTAAGTTTATAATTTAATATGGCTACATCTTATTTAAAGATGATAAATGAAACCTGCTTATAGAGTAAATTTTGGTAAGACTAGTCTCTTTTGAAATATACTTTTTTCTAAGTTAAATTATTATAATAATTTATATTTTTATTATATTGCGATTTCGTCATAAACAGATAAATTATTATTGGTTTCTTCTAATTATAAAATTAAAAATTCGACAAAGATTTCATTTAAAATAGAATTCAAAGATTCGTTTACTTCGAAATTTGCAACCATAATAAATGTTTCGCTTACATTAATTTTTATTATTTTTAAATTATAATTTAAAGTTATATTTATTTATTCTTCATTATATTTATATTATAATTGTCTCTTTATAATTTATTAGTTTTATATTTATATTTGTTTTTTAGCAAAATGTTAATTTTTTAAATATGCTTTTATGTTTAATAATTATTATTATGGGCAATTTTCTAATACTATTTTATTAGAAGATTGTATATAAAACTATAATATTTAATCCTAGAAAAAGTTTTAGTCTAAAAATATTGTTACTATTTCATCGTTAATCTAAATCACAAATCTATTCTTTTATTTATCTTCTTTATAATTAATTTTTATAAAGATATACTTTTCCACATTTATGAAATTTTATATAGTTTTTTGATTAAATTAATATTAGACTAATATTTAATTTTGGAAATAATTTAACTAAAGGCTATTACTCATTCTAAAATTTTTATTTTTAAATATGCTTATAATATTTTATTAAGGTTATAAATTTAATAGCGTTTAGAAATTAATTTCAAAATCATTTAGAACATTATTTTATCTAATTAATGTTATTAAATTAATATTATTTTCTAACTTATTTAATAAATAATTTTTATTAATTTAATTACAATTCTTTTAAAATTATATATAAATAGCCTATTCACTAAAAATGTGACTAATGTTAATTGTAAAAAGAATATAAAATAAAAAAATCATCTTTCTTTGTTTTAATATTATAAAATAATTATATATATTATTTGATTTATAGAAAAATTTTATAATATATTTATACATTATGAAATGTAATTTTAATGAGTATTTATAATTCTATTACATAATTATTAATAGAAAAATATATTTCTATATATATTTTTAGTTTTTAATATATGATTAAAATTGTATTAGATATATAAAATAAATAATTTTTACATTATTAATTAAATTATACACTTGAATTTTTTATGATAAAATTATAATAAAATAAAATATATTAAAAATATTAAAATTTTTTGAGTTTTTTAAAATATATGTATATTTAAATTTGATTTTTATATGAAAACTTAATTAATAAAATTAAAATTATAAATAATAATTTAAAAAAAAAAATATATATAAAAATATTATTTCGAAAATAAAATAATTATTTATTACTAATATCAATACTTTTAAATAAAAATATTGAAAAATAATTTTATTGAGATATTTTAATTATTTAAAAATAAATATTTTTTAATCTATTATTTTCTAAAATTTAATTAATATAATTTATAAATATAATTATTATATGATAAATCTTAGCAACTTAATACAGATTATTCATATATAATTTAAACTCTAATTTAATTTTTTACAAATCCTTTTCTTGACTACTAAATATTAATTTACCTTTTCAATTTCGATTTACTCATCACTTTTATCTTCAACATTTTTATCTTATTTATATTTTTTATTATCTTATATTTAAAAATATAGATTTTTAGCTAATTAAATAAGATATTCCTATGCTTATTATTTTGAAAAAGTTTATATATTTAATATCTCATCGCCAATTTTTTTGGAATTTCTATAGGTGTCAGAACAAATTAAATTTTCATTATTACTAAATATATTTTAATTAAAGTTATTTATCTTATGTAATTTTTCTTAATAACATTGATAAGAACTAATTAAAGATTCGTTTCTAAATTAAAGCTCTTCATTTAATTTTTTTATATTATTATTTTCAGTTTCTAAAGTTTTATTTATAAGGATTTATATGGATAGATTTTTTCTCAGATTATTAATTTCTTATTCTAGTTTGTTTACTTTTTCAATTAAACTATTTTTATCTTCAAAGTTTCTTTATTATTTTTATAATTATTAAACATTATTTTTATTTACATTGTTTTCCATTATTTATTTAGCTTTAGTCAAATCTAATTTAGGTATATTTACATTCAATTTTTTTTAATTTTCTAATTATTATTAGTTTATTTCTTAGATAATTATTTATTGATTTTTTTTAGCTTTTTCAGGTAATTCTTCGATAGAATAATCATCGTCAATTAAACAATAACTATTTTATTAAAACGATTAATTCATATTTCTATGATCTTATATAAAAATTTATTTATAGATTTAACAGTTTTTTTAATTTTATTTTTATTGTAATTTTTTTTTGTTAACACTTTTAAATTTTTACATTAAAATACTAAGCTTGAATTTAGATTTTCTTTTGTTTTTCCATTAAATTTAATTAATTCATTACTTATTGCCTTATTTATATAAAAAAATATTTATAAATATTATTTTTGATACCATATTTATTTTGAGTAAATTTTTTTAATTTTTTTCCAAAAAATCAATTTTACTATTTTTTTAAGATATTATTATATTCAAGTAATTGATTTCATCATGCATAATTTTTGTTTGTTCATTTAAAGAAATAATCTATTTTTTTATTTATTTTTAAAAAAAAAATTAATATTAAAATAATAAAAAATTAAATTCTCATTTTTTTTTTTACATTTTTACAAAGAATTGAATTTTCATTATATAAATATGATTCTTTTTACAAATCATCAAACATATTTTCATATTCTTTAATTTTGTACTATAATTACATGATTTAGTCTTCAAATTCAGATTAGATTTATTTTTCTTATTTTTATGAAGCCTCTGATATTTACTCATATATAAATGCCTTGCTTTGTGCTTCATTTCTTTCAGTTGTTAATTTTTAAATATTTTAAATTAAATTTAAATTTTCTTCATATAAAGTTTAAAAAACTAAATTTGAGCCTCTTCTTTTTGAATCTAATTATTAATTCTTTTAATCCTTCATTAATATCTTTAAAGCTTCTTTGTTTAAATTTATAATTTTTAACTATTCTTGTAATTCTTACTTTAATTGCTCGTTTTCTAATTATAAATATTATATTTTAGTTTATTTTCGGTTCTAATTTTAATTTATATTATTTTGGTTTAGATTTATGTTTTATTGTTAACTAGAAGTTGGAAAATTTTAATCTAATTGATTTAAATGGTAAAAAATCATTTGATTAATTTTTATAATTTATTTATTCTTTTAATATTTACAATATTATTTACTTGATAGGTTTTTTATTGATATTTATATTAAAATAGATATTTAAAGAATTTTGTTAATATATAAATAATTATATAAACAAAAAAATATAATATATTTAAGATAAATATTTAAAATTCATAATTTAAATAATTTTTTTTGAAAATAAATTTTTATTTAATTATATTATTTAGAAATATAATAATAAAAAAATGAAAATTTTAAATATATTACAAATAAAAATAATTATATAAAATAAAAAAAAATATAATTATTTTATTTAATTATTATAATGAATAAATTAATTATTTTATATGATTTAATTTTTAAATTTAAAATTTTTTATAATTAATTTTTATAATATTAATTTAAATAATAATATAATATATTAATAAAGTAAAATACTTATTAAATCTATTATTAATAAGCAATAAAATTAAAAAATTTCATTAAATATTATATTTTATTAAAATTTAATATATATTTATAATTTGAATTTAAATTCTTATATAAAATAAAAAAAATATTAAATTTAAAAACACTTAAAAATCATTTAAAAATAAACAAGAATAATGAAAATATAAAATGTAATATTATTAAAAAAATAAAAATTAAATAACAAAAATAAAAGAAAGAAGTAATAAATCTAATATAAAAAGACCCCTGTACAAGACATAAAAAACCTCAATTAAACTAAGCCTTAAAATCAAATATAAATAAAGCTAATTTTTTGAAATAAAATCAACTAAAAAAAAATATTGCAAATGGAAATAAAGTTACTTAAAGCTATGAATTTGGGAATAATAATAATAAAATTATAATAAATAATAATAATAATAACAATAATAATAATAATAATAATAATAATAATAATTAATAATATTAAAGAATAAATATATGCAAAATAAGAATTAAAGCAAACCAATGTACTTCAAAATATAAATAAATTAAAAGTAAGCCATAGCATAAACTTCAAATCATCAATAAAACCAAAAACTATTGAAAGTTAAATAAAAATATACAAAAAAGAAATTTTAGAAACACTAAAAGTTTAAGAAGTAAAAATTATATATATACTTTATAAATTAAAAATATTTTTAATAAATATAGAGAAAATTTATTTGTAAATAATACTATCTACAATAAACATAAACATAAATAAATTAAAAAATGAGAGAAATACTATTAGAATGGATAGTTGAAGTTCATTAAAAATTTTAACTAAAGGGGGAAACATTATTTATAACTGTAAATTTAATTGACAGATATCTAGAAAAAGTACCAATTTCAAGTAAAAATTTATAATTATTAGGAATATCTGCACTTTTTATAGCTTGTAAATATGAAGAAGTTTATAATGTGCCTTCTTTAAATGATTTAATATATATTTGTGATAATGCATATACTAAGTAATAAATATTACAAATGGAAGGCAGAATTTTATTAAAATTAGAATTTAATATTTTAAATGTTAGTTCATCAAGAATATTGGATTGGTATTTTTTTATGTATGAAGATGGGGAAGAAAATTTGGATTTAAAAAAATATTATTTCTTGAAATATTTACTTGAAATATGTTTATGTGAATATACTTTTTTATTGAAAAACCCAAGCTTTATTTGTGCCTGTTGTATATATTTTTAGAATTAATTTTTTTAATCTAACTTAAATACTAAAAATGGATTTAATTGGTAGATTTTCGAATACGAAGAAGTTTTGGTCTAAGAAATGTGTGAAAAAATATAAGGAGTTTTTAATAAAATTTAAAATAAAAAGCATTTGAAAGCTGTATATTAAAAATATTCGAAATCAGAGTTTTTAAGTGTTGCAAAAATAAGAAAGGAAGAAGAAGATATAATTGAAAATATTGATTTTTTGAATATTTTATTGCCGAATGAATCTGTTGATTTTATTTTTAAGAATATTTATTATAATAAAGAAAATAATATGAAAGTTTATGGATTAATAAGTAATTTTAAAATGGATGAAAATATTTGCATTAAGTTTTATAAAGATATTTTAATCTAAATTATTGGATAATGTAATTCTAATTTAACTGTTAAATAAATTGAAAAACTACCTACATATTTAGCAAAGTTAATTATTAGAAATATTTTTTAATTAGAGAATTACGAGAATTTTAAAAAATTTACTCCCTAAATTATAGATTATATTATAGATAATATTTATTGAATGTTAATTTTTTGTATTTATATATTTTTTATTTATTTTACATATTTTATTTTATATTTCTCATTTTTAATTCTTTATTTTGTTTTCTAGAAATTTCATTTAGCTAATTATTAAATATATTAATATTTTTTTAATTATAACATAATTGTTTTATTTGTATTTTTTATACAAATAATATTTTTCTTTATATATTTGATTTTTATTATTAATTAGAAAAATAAAGAATCTAATATTAAAATATTAAAAAATGATAAGATTTTCAACAAAAAAAATATTTTAAACATTTTTAAAATAAAACAATTAATTTAAATATACTTTTTATAATTAAATTCACAAATTTAATCTTGCATTTGAACCATCTTAAGGTTTAATTTTTTATTTTAAATAAAATTTAACTGATAATTATAAAAAAATAAAAAAGAGTTCAAGAAATTCTAAAGAAAAAAAAAAACTTAAGAAAAAAAAGAAAAAAAAATTTAAGGCGAAGATTTATAAGAAGTCCAAAAAAATATAGATCAAAAAAATTAAAATTTAGAGCCTAGTCAAGAACAAAAAAAAAATTAAGAAGAAAATAAAAAAGTACATGAAAACAAAAAAGAATAACCAGATTAAAAAGAAAATGAAAATAAGAAAGAATAAGAAAACGATAATAAATAAGAATAAGAAAATGAAAAATAAGAAGCTAATTAAGGTACTATAATTTATAAGAAAGAAATAAATAATCAATAATTTATTTAAATAAAAAAAATTAAGAATAAGATGATGAAAATAAAGATGATAACAAAAATAAGCATAAGAAGTATAATAAAAAAAATTAAAAAAAACAATAAGAAACTGGATAAGGATTTTTCAGCTCTTAATCATTTTTGAATTTAATTATTCTTTTCGGAGGATATTAATTAGCTTAAATTTTTTTTGAATATCTTAGTCAATAAAATATTTTGGATTATAAAGTATAATATTTATTTTATAGTTTAATTTTTTATTTATTTAATAAAAAAACATAGACATTTTATTATACATATTTAGAAAAATAATTAGTAAAAAAAATTGTTATTGTAACTGATAATAGATATTAAGATCATATCAAGTTTACAGCAAAAATTATTACTAAAGATGATTAAGTTAAAATTTTAGAAATAGTCGACTCTAATAGTTTTTTGGAAAGTTTGGAAGATTTTTAAACTAAAAGAGGTATTCCTCTAGAATAATTTATTTAAATTGAATTTGAATATGTTTAAGATTACACAGTAAAATAATTATTTAAATAATTCTTAACTTATATAAAATAAATATTAAAAGAGATACTTAGCAATATTTAATGATAGTTTCTTATATCTATTTCTTTTTGGAGTTTTTCTAAATGTATTAAGGAGACCAGAAAAATTTTAATAAATAAGAAATTTATTTGGTGATTAGGTTGGTATCCATACAATCTTATTTAATATATATAAAATTATTCAATATTTAAAAAAAAGGTTAAGGTACAAAAATAAAAGAATTCAAATCTGAAAAAGTAAGTGTAAAATTCAAAGATGTTGCGGGTTAAGATGAAGCTAAAAAAGAAATTATGGAATTCGTAGACTTTTTAAAAAATCCAAAAAAATACGAATTTATTGGTGCTAAAATACCTAAAGGGGCGCTACTTACTGGACCTCCAGGCACAGGAAAAACATTATTAGCTAAAGTATCAACATATTCAAATAATACGATATTTTTAATAATAATAAAAAAATAATTTAAAATAAAATAAAAGGCATGCGCAGGTGAAGCAGAAGTACCATTTTTCTTTATGTCAGGAAGTGATTTTGTAGAAATGTTCGTAGGCGTAGGAGCATCTCGGGTAAGAGATTTATTCTAAAAAGCAAAAGAGAAATCTCCTTCAATAATATTTATAGACGAAATAGATGCTGTTGGAAAAAAAAGAGAAGACCGTTAAGGAGGAGGAGGAAACGACGAAAGATCCAACACTTTAAATTAACTTTTAGTTGAAATGGATGGATTTTCTTCAGAAAGTAAAGTTATTATTTTAGCAGCTACAAATATGAAAGAGCTTTTAGACCCTGCATTGGTTAGACCAGGAAGGTTTGATAGATAAATTGAAATTACAAATCCAGACATTGAGGGTAGAAAGGAAATTTTCTTGGTACATTTAAAGCCTCTTAAACTTGACCCTTCGAAATCTATTGAAGAATATGCGAGAAGATTGGCTAGTTTGACTCCTGGGTTTAGTGGAGCCGATATTATGAATTTATGTAATGAAGCGGCTATTTTAGCAGCTAGATAGAATAAAAAAACAGTTGAAGGTATTGATTTTGAAATGGCGACAGAAAGAGTATTAGCTGGTATTGAAAAAAAATAAAAATAAGATGAAGGTGAAAGAAAAATAATAGCCATTCATGAATCTGGGCATGCTGTTTGTAGCTGGTTTTTAGAAGGGGGAGATCCACTTTTAAAAGTAATTTATTTTTGTTTAAGTAATTTTTATTTTTTATGTAATTTTTTTTATTAATTAAAAAATAGCTTACTATAATACCAAGAAGTAAAGGGTCTTTAGGATTTGCTTAATATTTACCAAATGAAAGTTCTTTATAAAGTAAAGAAGAATTATTAGATAAGTTATGTTGCATGTTGGGTGGTAGAGTTGCTGAAGAACATTTTTTTGGCAAAATTACTACTGGTGCATATGATGATTTGTAGAAAGTTTATAAAGTTAGTTATGCATTGGTTACTAAATATGGGATGAGTAAAAAAGTTGGGTATGTTGGATTAAAAGATGGGGATTTTCAAAATGCTTTTAGTGATTATACAAATAGAGTATTATTATTTTCTTATTTTTTTTTATAATATTTTTTTTTTAGATTATTGATGAAGAAATATTTTAACTAATTAAACAACAAACAGATAGAACTCGTTAAATAATTAAAGAAAAAGAAAAAGAAATCAAGTTATTAAGTGAGGAATTATTAAAAAAAAAACACTTGATTTGGCTTAAATTAGATTAAATTTTGGGAGAAAGACCATTCTAACCTAAATCTAATTTCAAAGCTTATTTAGAAATAAATGATGAAATGTAAAAAGAAAAAGAAAAATTAGAGTAAGCAGAGTTTTGAAAAATTCATATTTAATATTATAAATATAAAAAATAATAAAAGTAAATATAAAATTGAATAAAAAAAATTCATAAATTATACTAATATTTCTTTTTATTTATCTTTTTTAATATTTAAATTATTGTTTGCAGTTTATTTTTTAAATATTGATCTAAAAAGCATATATTAAATTAAAATATCGATAATGCTAAAAAATAACTTTATAATTTAACTACGTTTTAAAATATCTTTTTCTTTAAAATTTATCTTTTTTAAAAAATATTTCAATATATATATAAAACTTAAAGAAAAATAAATTTTATTGTGTTATAATAATAAAATAATAAAATATTAAAGTAAATAAAATGTATTTTTATAAAAAATCTTAGAAATTTGAAAAAGGAAATTAAAAGTAAAGCACAACTGATAAAATGATAAGCTATTTGGCTTACGGAGCATTAAGAAATGCTGAAATAAACGATAAAGATGATAATTAAGGACTTTTATAAAATACATTTGTGAAAATAAAAGATAATTTACAGAATAATATTTTTTCAAATAAATTATAAGAAATATAAGAAGCAGCGTAAAACTGGAAATAATTTACAATTTTGTTTATTATTGGAGTATGCATGATGACAATGTCTTTTGCTTTTCTTCCTATTGTGATATTAGTTCCTTCTAAATTTGCAAGTTTATTTACTCTAGGTAGTATATGTTTAATTTTAAGTATTGCATCAATAAAAGGATTTAAATAATTTTATGATAGTGTTTTTTGTAAAAATAGAATTTAATATAGTCTAAGTTATGTTTTTTCAGTTTTCGGAACCCTTTATTTTTGCTTTCTTAAAAAAAGCTATATTTTTGTACTCGCTTTTTCAGGCCTTTAAATTTTAAGCCTTACCTTTTTTATAGCTTGTCATTTTCCAGGAGGTGTAACAGGTATGAAGTTTATTCTTAAATAAATATCGAATACTTTTAAAGGTCTATTAAATTTATGCTTTAGAAGTTCATAAAAATAATATTTGCCTTTATGATTTAATTTTTATTATGTTTATTTTAATAATTTTAATTTTTTAGAATAAAGTTTTACCTTATTTATATAATTAATAAATAAATATTTATTTATTTATTTTTAAATTTTAAAAACTAATATATATTATTATCAATATTATAATTAATAATCTTTGTGTTGATATTATTTTATCTAATTTCTTAATTAAATTTTAATATTGTAAAATGTTGAAAAAATATTAATTCCGTTTTTCAATTACTTTTAAATGCAAATTCAACAAAAGATTGACGGTAAAAATATACGATATAGACGATTATAATAAATTATTTTTTAATGTTTTTTCATTAAAAAGGTAAGGATAGATTGTAGCTAAACTAATAGTTGGTATATATTCTGAAAATGCAAATAATAACAATATGAAAATCAAGAAAAGTCTTTATAATTAACAAAAGATATTTTATAGATATATGAAGTATCTAATTTTAAGTAAAACACTACTCCGAAAATAAATGTTCGATAATATATTAATAATAGATTATTTGGTATTAAATTAAAATTATGTAAGTATTTATTAGTAAATATATTCAAAATTACATTTATATTAATAATGATTTAACCTTTTTTAATATAATAGGATTAAAAACCGATTAAAAATAATAATTTTTAAAAAATTAATTAGTTTAATAAATAATATAAATCTATAAATTAAACTTTATAAAATTAAATTTATTTATTTTACTTATAATTTTTCCATTAACCTTATTTTTTCTATCTAAATAAAATGTAAATTGGATTTGAAATTATTATCTAAAAATTATAAACATGTTCTTATTTATATTTTTTTTACTAACTAAAGAAAATACAATTCTTTGTTTTTAATTTTTTTAATATTATTTTTAAAAATCATTCAATTAAGAATAACTAAATTTAAAAAGAAAAAAATATAAATAAATTAAATTAAAAGTTAGTACTAATAATTTAATATATAAAAAATAATATTAATATATAATAAATATTTTTTATTTTATTAAATATAAATATATGTTTTTGAATTCTATAAATCATTAAAAAGATAAATATGAAAAATAAAATGAATATATACTTATAATTTAATTAAAATATTAATAGAATATATATTATATAAATTCTTCTTTTATATTATAAATTAATTTATTTTAATATATATTTCAAATTAAATTATAGTAAATATCTAAAAATATATTTGACAATATTAAATTTATTAAAATTAAATTAAATAAAAATATGTATTTTTTTAAAAATTGTTAAAAAAATCAAAAAATATTTGTAAAAATTAAAATTAAGTTTATATATTTTTTGATTATTAGTAATATAAACTAATAATTATATGATCACTTATTATTAAGATTATAAAAATAATATATATTAAATTAAATTATTTAATTTTCACTTTCTATGTTTACAATAAAAAATATATAGAAAACTTATATAATGGTAGATGCATTAATTTTTAATATATTTTTTAATAAAATATTTAATATATTATTTAAAAAAAGATATTGTTCTACGTCATTATAAAAACATTTTAATAACTTATATTTTATTTTATAGAACGATAAATTAAAAAATTATTTATATATAAACCTTATCATTTTACAAACAAAATTACATTTTACTTATTCAAATTTAGATTTTTTTTTATTTTTAATCAATAACAAAATTTGCAAAAATTATTTTAAGAATACTTTTATTAAGTTTATTATTTTTTTAACCCTCCCTAATATAGATTCATTGAATTAGTTTTACTAATACCTTTTTTAAAATTAATATCTTAACTAAATTAAAAATCAGAATTGTCCTAATAAGAAAGCCATTTTTAAGAGTTAACATCCAAAAGCTTTTCTTAATTGATAGAATCTAAACAAAAAATATCGTTCATAGCTAAATCAAATAAATACGCTTCTAAATCAATTGCAGGCATATCTTCTTTAGGTTTTCCTGTTTTTTTCTTCGCAACGAAAAATTCCCATAAACTATAGTTTGGGTTTATTCTCCAATTAGAATTTTATGCATTTAAAATTTGATTAAATTGCTAAATAGAGTATTTTATAATATCCTTAACAAGCATATTTTCTAGCCCTTCGCTTATTTATAAAAGGTTTTCGTCTTCTGATATAGCAGGTATATTTACATTTAAATAAATAATAATTTTTTTGTATGAATGTTTTCAATTGGAATTGATCGTGTACAAAATTATTAAGGCTTATATTATGCTAATAACATTTCTGAAATCTCAGTTTTGGTTCGTTGATAATTTTGCTAATTTGTATTAGTAAGAGAGTTTTTTTAAATAATATTTTGGATTTAGTCATCCTCATCACTATTAAATTGATAATTCATAATAATTATTAATTTAAATAAATAATTAAATAAAATATTTTTATTCATGTTAAATAAAAATATAAAAATAATAAATTTATATTATATAAAAATACTTTATATAATATAAATATTTTATAATCAATATTATCAATTTTATTTAAAAATTAAAATATATAATTTTATATATACATGTATATATAAATTTATTTTTATATTTTATATATAAAAATAGTCATTTTTCTATCAATTCTCTATATCCTTTCCAATCTTTAGGAGCTTAATAATCAAATTTGCTCATATATTTAATAATAGTTTAGCAAGGTCCATCTTCTGTTAATTTTCCTTTATAATATTAATTATTTTCAATTGTAAACAATAAAACAGCCTTATAATTCATTTTTATTAAATTAAATATTATAAAATAAAAAAATAATACTTAAGCCTGTATAAGCTTAATATGTGCTTACTGCCAATTTCCTTCAAGGTATTCATTAATACCTTGATGAAAAATATTGAAAAATTCTTCAGTATAGTTTTATCTCATTAGATATAAATCATTATCAACTTCAAAAAGTTTATTTACCATTAATTTATTTTATATAATTTTCTCATATCTTTCATCTTTTTTCTTTCTTTAAATAAATCTTAAAATTTTTTTATTTTATCCTTTCTACTCAACTTAATTTTTCAGTGGAAAAATTTTTATATTTAAAGATTATTAGTCCATATCACAAGTATATAAATCCATAGGCTAATATGATCCTTTTACAGTCACTCTATCTACTTATCTTATATAACTTTACGTTTTTTAAGATAGCATTCTATATAATCCACCACTCATTAATAATTGAATTCCGTATTATTTTGTTGCATTTTCTAATCTACTTGCTAAATTTACGTTCGGACTTAAATAACTTGCATCTATTTTAAATTAAGAACCTATTGACCCCTTTTTTATTTTTATTTTTTATTTTTATCTATTTGGAATATATTTTTACTTACTTCAATTCCCCATCCTATATGTAAACCGAATCCTAATTTTAGTTTAAATTGTTAGTTTGTTTTCCTTATTTATTCTATATGACTTTACTAATATTATTTTCAATTTTTTTTATATGTAAAAAAATTTACAAATTTTTATGTTTGTGATAATTTGTATGAACAAGCTAATGTTTTAAGAAAACCTAAGAGAGCTAAATCAGTAAAATTTTAACAATTGGTTAATTTTTTAACTTCAACTTCTTCTTTTTCATTTAAATTAATTAATTCATCTTCATCTTTAAATTTCCAAACCATCAAAAAGCAATCACCTAAATTTTTATTAGCAACTCCATGAAAACAATCACAGACATAATGTACAATTTCAGCAATTTCATTTGCAAATATCATCACTCTTTCTTCCAAAACTTCTGTAACATCAGCAAAATTACGAATTGAAACAAATCCAAATATCGCGAATATTTTTCTTCCAGGGATCATTGGATTTACTTTACCGTCTTTTTTTTAAAAAATAAATAAATTTAAATGTTTGCATATAATTTTTTTTACCTCCATTCATATTTTTTCCAATAATTTAAGAACCGGCTTCTCCAAATCCTAAAGCTAATAAAGCTCCGATTTTAATTATAGTACTTTCTAGAATAGAAGTTTCGTATTTTTTTTAAATTTAAAGTTCATTTAATTATTTTTAATTTAATGTTTTTATTAACTCTTCTTCTGCTATTTCTTGATCTTATGATATTCTCGCAGCTTCTAAAGGACATCTACTTATCATTTTTATTTTTTCTAACATTCTTTCAATAGGATCAACAACCATTTCATTAGAGTCCTTTATAAAAAAAAATGCTGACTATATTTATAAATTTAATGACTTTTGTAAAATATATAGACGCACAAGCTAATATAATAATTAAGTAAGTAGTCCTTGCAATTGATAAAATAGAAGTTAGATCTTAATCTTCCTTAACAGAATATATACAAATAGCTTGATTTTGAAAGCCTGTTTAATATGAAACACTATATGTATCTTTTTCTATTGCCCTTAATGTTTCATATAAACTACTTTAATAATAAACATTATTATTAATTTTTAAATAAATTAGTTTGTATCTATCTAGTTATTCAGTCTATTTGGAAATGAAAAAATTTATGAGTTCAGTTTAGTAGGTATTATTATCTTAATAAATTATTTGATTAGTCATAACATTATGTAAATAATTTAAACCAAAAGTATAGGAAGACTCTAAACTATTGTATGTTTCAGCACTAAATAATGGTACAGAAATAGCAATACTAAAAATTAATAAAACTACTCTTTTTGTAGTTAAATCAGAAAGCATTTTCCCTATTTTTGATTCAACCTTTTTTAAAAAATAAAAGTAAATATAAGATTAATATAAAAATAAAAGCTTATTTTACTTGCTCATTCTAATTTTTTTACATTAAATTTTTTTATGTCTCTTATTTATTTGAAATTCCTATTTATTTTTCATTTGAAATATTTTCAGTAATTAGGTTATTAAAAGATTAATAGAATTCTTTTTATGAAGTTTATTTTTTCATTTTTAATTAATTATTTTCTTATACAAAGCTTTCTAATAATTTTTTATTTTTTGAATGCCTTGATGAAGATACTTAAGAAGGTGAATCGTAACTAATTTATCTATAAATTATATATATATATATATATAATATTTTTATGTTAATTTTTTTTTCGTTATTTTACATAATTTTACGCTATTTGTTATATTCCAGGATTTAATTGATTCTATTAACGATAAGTTTAAGAGCCTTATTTCGTATATTTTCTATAGTTGTTTGTAGGCCTTAGTCTTATTATACAATAATTGCTAAATATTGTTTATTCATAAGAATTAAAATCATTATAATATTCTTGCAATTTTCTCAAATTCTTTTCGTCTCTATTATCATTATTATTATTTATTTCAACAGAATTATTTATTTTCGAATTATTATTATTTAATATTAAAACTGATTAATCTTCATTTTCTAAATAAAAAATATAAGTTTTAAAATATAAAGTAAATAATAGTTACTTATGTATTCATGATTTTCATTATCTTTTTATTAATAATTTATTTTATTATATTTAATTCTGTTACTAGTTGTTTTGTTTTTTTCATTTTATTTTAAATTTTATATATTATTTTAGATTTATTCATCTTCTTTATATTTTTTTAGAACTTAACAGCTTTCCTCATCTTCTAAGTTTAAGAATTTAATATATTTTTAAATAAATAAGATATTATTTACCCTCATCACCACTATCTAATTTAGAATTTAATTATTCATTGATTCTATCTTTTATTACTTCAAAAGTTTTTTGATATAATTTTCCTAATTTAATAAGCCTAACTAAGCGAATAAATCTTACTATTTTTGTTGCTCTTGTTGTTACCTTAGAAACTCTTCCTGCTCTATTTTTTTTAGTTATATTATAATTTTTCTAATAACATTTATATTTGATTTTACTTTAACAGATTAACTTAATTATCTTTATCAAACGAAATTCCAATTATAGATTATGATAACCATGGTACATCAAATATTAAAGATAATAAAGATATAAAATCCATAAAAAAAGTAAACCCAAGAAAATATTTTTCTCTAATTAAACAATTTGCAATTAGTTCTACTGAAAATAAAATAAAACAACCAAATGTTATTTAATAAAATATTTCATCATCTGAAGGAGTAAATCCGATAACTCTAATATCGTCTGCATATAGTGCATAAAAAGTTGTCAAAGTCATAATAATTTAAACAAATGAACTCTCTAATATAGGTAATGTTTATGCCTTGTATATTTTTTTTATTTATTTAAAAAGAGCAATATAATAATATAAATACTAATATAATAATATAAATCCATAAAAAAAATTATACTTATTGTATAATTATACTATATTATATATTATTTTTAATAAATTATAACTAAAAATATTATTTACTCTTAATTTTAAAATATATTAGTCAAAAACGGATTTTTTTTTAATTAAATTCTTATATTTTTCGTAACTAAATTATTTTTGCTTATATAATTCTTTGTCTAATTTTGATTCCTATTCTTTATTTAAATTATGTTCTTAAACAATTTATTATTCCAAGCATTTTAGCCTTTTCATTGTTTCTAACATTTCTTTTTGCTTTTAAGTTTTTTCTTCAATCTTAGAAATATGTTATTTCACTTAATTTTAGTTTTATTAAATAAATGGTAAATTTTATTACATTTATATATTATTTTACTTTTAAGTACTGTTTTGATTGTAAGAAAAGAAATCGATTTAGAATTTTAATCATTTTTTTTTATTACTTATAAAGGATTTTTAGAATTTAATTTTTAGTTATTGAAAAACTCATGAACCGCAAATTATTTAGAATTTTTCTGAGAATTCATTTAAAATATTAAAGTTTAAATATTAAAAATAACTATATTTTTAAATTTTTATTTTTACTTATATAATACTTTAATATTATTCTTTTGTACAAATAAATTTTTTATATATATATATTAATTATTTTTAATTTATAATATTTTGATGTTAGAATTATAAATTAAATAAATAAAATTAATATTTATATATATATAAATATATAATATAATTTTTTTAATAAAATAATATTTCTTATTTACTATTAATATTTTTATAAAAAATAATATTTTTTTAAATATATATATAATAAATAAATAAATTAGTATACACATAATATATAAAAAACTATTTATATAACTTATATAATATATAAATAATTATATATTTTATATATAATTTTATTATATATGAAAATAATTATATATATAGGAAATTAATTATATATAGGGAAAATAATTATATATTTATTCAGGCATTCAATTTTTATTATTAAATTTTATCTCTTTATAATTCTATTTCAATTAAGTTATTTTTAATTTATTCAGGGTACTCTTTTAATTCTTTAAATAGTTCTGCTATATCTTCCCATAAAGGCAAAACTATAGATTCTTTTTTTTATACATTAAAATATATATTTTATTTATTAAAAAAAATATTTTTACTAACAAAAAACAATTATCCATTTAAAAATGTGAGCTTATCTTTATAAATTAGAAAAGTTGTTACAGGTAAATTATTTTATTTTTCTTTATCAGCCTTTTTTAAGAAAAATAATATATTTTTTATTTAAAATTAATATTTATTATAAGTTTTTATTTAAAATAATTACTTAATCCATAAATTCTTAAGTAATCAAATATGACCAATTTAAATAATTATTAAATTATAAACAAGGATTTCCAATATCACAGGCGTGAGTAATTATATTTAATATAAACTATTTTAAATTTAAAGAAAAAAAAAAAAATTATTAATAAACTAATTATAATTATATAGAATAATTTTAAAAAATAAATATTTATTTATGTTATTATCACTCTTCTATCTTCAAAATTATCATTATTAAATTTTAAATATTTATCTAAATCACTTGCTGCATTTTTTTCTTATTCAGATTTAATTTTTTATAATTTTAAAGTTGATGTAGATCTCTTTTTAAATTTTGTATGTAATTTTTAATGTTTTGCTATATCAGTAGCAAGTATACTTGTAATTACAATTCTTTTAAATTGTTAAATTTTATACTTTTTTTATAAATAATATTATCTCTTTAATTTAATTTTTACTTAATCTGAAAATTTCTAAAAAAAATTTATCTCTTAATCATTTAATATTATATTAAATAATTATGAACAATGCATATTTTCCAAAACTCCTTATTCTGCATAATTTATACAAATATTCGATTTTCTTTTAATTTTATATAAATTATTTAAGCCCTCTTTATTTAACAAATTAAAAATACTTTATAAATATCCAGCAATATATACAATTTTTTATTAAAAAAAATAATTTACTATGGTTTAAATCATGCCCTAAAGCTGCTATTTAAGCACAAAATACTTCAAAAGGAATCATTTTTTTTTCAAACTATCTGAATTTTAATAACAACAAAAAAACATCTATTTAAAATTAAAATTAATTAATTTTTAAATTTTATTTTATATACCTAGAATACTGAAAATGCATGTGTCCAGTTATGGTATGGAACAACATTGTAATTTAAACAAAGTGTTTTAATTAATTTTTTCATCTAATCTTAGGATAAATAATCTAAATAAGTAGCATCATAATCAAAAATTTTGAAACTAAGCTCACACAATTCTTTGTTTGTATATAAATGCATTTAGAAGTTTTAATTTTTTAGTTATTTGATATCTAAAAATAAGGTTTTTAAAAAATTATTCTTTTTAAAAAATAATTTACCGAATTTTATCATTCTCTCTATTACATTAATCTTAATATCATGAATTAAAGGAATTAGCTATTTTGTTGTATTTTCATATCTTCTTCTAAATGCGTCAATATCTCTTTCATTAAATTTTAAGTTGTTATCTAATTTTCTTTTGAATTTTTTTATTGTTTTTAAAAATATTCCACAGCTTTCTATGATTTTACTTGTTTCCTTTTTTAAAATATATATTTTTTTAAATAAAATTATTAAATATTATACTTAGTTTTCAGACTATATTTTTAAAAATATTTTTTAATATTCTAAAAATTATTATTATTGTTCTTGATCAATTTTATTTAGAAAATTATATTCAATAAATTCAAACTTATTTATTTTATTTAAATATAAATTGTAAAAAAATTACTTCATTACTTAATTTTTATAAAAATTAAATATTGTTTAATTTTTATTAATTTTCAGACATTTTTTTTTATTTATTTAATATTTAATGCTTGTAAATTTTACCAAATAAATAATAAATATATATAATATTTATTATATTATTATGATAAAAAAATAAAATTAATTTTCAATATTTTTATTCTAATATATATATATATATATATATATATATATATATATATGCTATTTGTATATTATACGATTGTATAAATGTTTTTATTTGTTTATATTTTCATTTGTTCATATAATTTATATTTATTATAAAAATTTAAAATTAATTTTAATCTTTAATGTTTATTATATTTTTTTATATTAATTATATTAATATATAATCAAATTTTAATTAAAAAATAAAATAAAAATTTTACTTAAAAATTTTATAAATGTAATATTTGATATTACTGTATTATTTAATTAGTCTATAAATTAAATAATTAATATAATTAAATCAAATATTATATATAAAAATAAAAAAATATAAAAATAAATAAATATATAATAAATATTTTTTCAAAAATTTTTAAATAAAAAAATATAATTCACTTTGTTCTTGTATTTATTTATAATATTGAAAGGATTTGTTAACTAATTTATGATTATTTCATTATTATCTATTTATTCATTATAATATTTTTAATAAATAAATAATGTTATTTTTTAGATTATTACTCAATTTCAAAATAGAAATACTATTTTTTAATTCTTGCTATTTAAAACTTATAATATAAAAATTTACTAAAATTAAATAAATTTAATATTTTAAATTATTATACTTTAAACTAATTAAAAGAAAAATAACAAAATATAAAAAATATTATTTAAAAGAATGAATGAATAAATAAATCATAAATATAAAAGAATTATTTAAAAAAAATATGACGAATAATTAATTATATTAATTTTATAATTTTAATTAAAGATTTAACAAAAATAATAAACTTATAATTATTTGATCAATTATTAAAATAATATAAATAAAAATGAATAATATTTATCTATATTATTATAAAAACATTGTATATCCAACTTAATTACATAAGATTCTAATTTATAAATTCAAATATATAAAACTTTGAAAACAAAGAAAAATACTGATAAATAAAAAGATTAAAAAATGTTTTTGTAAAAGGTAAAAAAGAGTTAAATAAATATTAGTAGGATTTGTCTTTAAAAAAATAATGTAATGAAGTGGTTTTTACATAGAAGCTTATATAGACTAATGTTGAAATAAAATTAAATTAAATTTAGATTAAGTCGCTAAGCTTATTTAATTATCAAGAAAAGCATTGCAATATTATTTTTATTACTTTAAAAAAGGAAAAGAATTCGAATACAATTTTTTTAATTATTAACTTGAAAAAGCTATTTCTTTAAGAAATTTTGTAAAATGATTTTTGAGAAAAAGTGAGAATTAATATATATAATATATTGATGAATAAATATAATAAAATAATCTTTGATTTCAGGATAATGCTGAACCAATGAATCATAATTATATTTTTAATTAAAGTGATTAAATCCATTATAATATTTGTGGAATATGAAATATTTATATCATTTTTAGTTTATAAATCTTAATATAATAGCGATTTGGACCAATCTAATGTTTTCTTTAACTAACTCTTTTGATAGTAATTTTAATTTTATTGGATTTTAATAAGCAAATGATTTTCTAGTAAATTTAACCTTTAATATAAATAGTAAATTATATTGAAAAAAAATACTAAATTAAAATATTGGTAATATGTTTTTAAATAAAATAAAATTAAAAAAAAGAAATGATTACTATTTATTAAAATTAGAAATTGCTTAATTTTTGTTGTACATATGAAAAAAAATAGTTTTTTTAACAAATTTATTACTTTTTATGTTATGATGTATTTTAAATATAAAATGTATTTTATCTAAAGCTGATTATATATTTATATTATAAAAAATTTAAAGTTACTGAATACTATTTTATAATTTAATAATTAAAAAAATAGTATTTTTTATATATATTATGTTATAAGATAGAAATAGTTATAAAGTAAAATATGAAAATATTTAATTCTTTAATTATATTTATAATTAAACTATACAACTATTAAAAAAAAATAGTTTCCCAAAAACAAATAAATAATAAAAACATAATATTTAACAGCTGATATAAATTCACCCAAAATTTTCAAAAACTCGATGAAAAAAAACGTAATTTTGTATAAATAAGATGTATATAGTTTCTGATAATAATTATGAATTCAAAAGAAAAAGAAACTTAAATTTTTTCGAAGAAGAACAAAAAAATAAAATAAAAAAGAACTTTAAATATAGGAAAAAAAGTGAGCATAATAACTTAAAAAGAATTAACATATGAAAATTTCCAATTAAAAGCAAAATAAGAAAAACCCTTTAAAATATTTTTTTTTACAAAAACAAATAATTTTGCACATAATAGAAAATTTTTTAATGCTCTTTGTTTATATTTTAACTTTCTTTCTATTCTTAATAAGTTTTTATCCCTTTATTGAACTTATAAGTTATAATATAATTAATATAAATTTATTAATATTATAATATATTTATGCTTAAAATTAAAAAAAAAAAAAAATTATTATAACCAGTAAAGGCATTTGCTTATATGTTTTGGTGTTGCTAAAAATTAAGAAAAAAAATAAAAATATTCTATATCATATATATATAGTAATATCAAGAAAAAAATCAATTATATTTAAATAAAAATATCAAAATCTAAAAAGAAATAAGCGATTTTAATAAATGTATAGTCGATTAAAAAAGTACCTTTTTTGATTTATAATTAATTTTTAAAGAAATTATCGAAAAAAATTAGCTTTTCTTTCGAAAAATATAAAAAATAAAATATGAGGCAGATAAACCTTTAAAATTAATAGGTTTGTATATTATATAAAGGCTAACTATCAACTTATATATATATAATTACAAAAATAACATTGATAAGTCATTATTATAGGAATTAAAGAAATAAAATATATTTGATAGTTTACTTTTTTATGATTAATAAAATACTATTTTTATATGATCTTGTAATCTTTTGGTTATTAATATGTGTTATTATTTTTTTTAAATTTTGAAATATTTTCCTTATGGTTATGAAGAGTTCTGTAGAACTGTAGAATTAGGTATAACTTTTATATAAACTCTAAATTTCAAAATATTAATTAATTTAGAGTCCTCAAGTTGTAAATAAAAAGAAGATATTTATAAAAAATTTGCCATATTTTTATAGAAGTAAATATTAAAAAGTAAAATAAGAAAAAAACACAATTTTATTTTTTTAAAATAAAAAAATAGTAATTTTTATTTATCTAATTCATATTATAAAAAAATATTTATATTTTTAAAAAATATAATTAAAATTTAATTTAATTTTATATATAATAAATTTATGAAATTATTTAATATATTTAAATGAATTTAATAAAAAAAAAAATTTCAAGAAATCAATAAATAAATAATATTTTTTTTAGGAATAAATTAATTTAAAAATGGAATTTTGTAAATAATCACAATATATTAAATGCCTTAATAATATTTTCCATAATTTATATAATAATATTAGTTCGAATTTATTATTTGGTATTTTAATGATATTTTTGAATTTATAAAGCGAATTAGAATGTATTGTTTCTTATAAAAATATTTTTAATTAATCCTTTCTAAATTATATATTTAATAATAAAAGAAAAATAAGAATAAGCTTCTTACTATAATTTTTATTTGATTAAAATATTAATTATTAAATTTTATTTTGGATTACATTTTCATTTAATATTTTAATAATTTTTTTGATTTTGATTATATATCTAATGTAAATGCATAACATTTTTTATTAGAACATTTAGTTACTTCTAAAAATTTAATTAAGAGCATATAACTATGTATTCTTCTTTTAATCTATTTCTATTAGCTTAGATTTACTAAATTAAACCGACATTCAATAAATTACTCTTGTAATATTAATATCTTTAAATATTACTTTTACTTTTTTTATTTGTTTTTTATAATCTTTCTATGATTTTAATTATTCTTTTTAAAACAAAGATGGCTTATAATAAAACTAATCATTATTAAATCAGATTAAAACAACTTTTTTTGGCTTTTTAATAATTAGTAATCGTTATGCAAATTAAAATTTAGTTACTATTTCTAATTGCTTATTTTGTATTTTTAAACTATTCATTTACTTTACTTAACATAGCTATTATTGTAAAGAAATATCAATTTTTTATATATAATGTTGCTTTATTTATTTTATTTCAATAGTTAGTTTTATAATTGCTGATTATTTTGATAGTGAAAATATTTAACTTATATTAATTTATAGTATTCCTTTATGTTTTCACTTTGGGTAAATTATTCATAATAGAACTAATTTTGTATATTCAATTAATAAAATTTAAAATTAATTTAAATTAAGCAATTAAAAATTTGACATATATGTTAGATTAGTTAATTAAAATTTAAATTTATTTTATGATGATTATATAAATAAAAATCAAGGAATATTTTTTGAAAATATATTTATTTCGCATAAATTGAAATGTCAAGAATAGTTTTTTAATTGCTTTTGTTATAATTTTTATAAAGTAATTATTTATATATAAAAATTAATGGCAATTTTATTAAAAAAATTAATTTAAGGAAAATGATGTTTTTAATTTTAAAGAACATTTTGGAGAAAAATTTAGAAAAAAATACATTACTTTTTATATTATGGATATTTTTGAATAATACATCTAAAAATAGAAAAAAAAAAGTATGAAAATTGTATTTTCATATCTAAACTTTTTAATTGATATTTTTTAATCAGAAACTAAGTGTTTCATTTAAATATATAATTTTAGTCTTTTATCAAAAAATTAAAAAATTAAATCGTTAGATTAAACATATTTTGAATTTTTATTTTTACGAGCAAAAGAAAAATATAATAAAATTTTAAATAATTCATTTTACTAAAATCAAAATTTATTTATTCTAGGTCCAATTTAATTTGAAGAAGACTTGCAATAATTTAAAGATTTATTTAGAGATTTATTAATAAAAAAAGGTTAATTTTATGATTTTTTATGTAATGATTTAATTGATTTACATATTGTTTAAAAAAATGCATTTAAAATATATGAATCATAACAATAATTATTATAAAAGTTATAATTTTTATTTTAAATAAATCCAAATTGTGAAATTTAATATTTAATGAAAATTTTTTATTTTAATATCGATTTTCAGGATTAAAATATTTAAAATGCTATTCTGCTTTATTAAAAAAAAATTGATTAAAAAAATCATTAAAATATAGAAGTATTTTTTAAAAATGTGTGTGCAGTATATATTTCTTTAGTATAATAAAGTGAATAGATAATTAAATCTTCATCAAATATATTTGATATATTAGGTTATTAAAAATAATAAATAATTGGAAAAAATTTAAATACATTGATACCTAAAGTATTAAATTAGTCACATGAAAAAGCAGTTAAAAACTTTAAAAAATTTGGATCAATCAAATATTTATCTAAAAGTATTTTTTTAAAAAAATTATTTATTAAAAAATAAAAGATAATCATAATAATGTTCTTGGATTAAAATAAAACGGATTTTTGATATCTTTACGTCTGAAATTAAAAATAGAAAATATGAATGATGATCTTGGAATATCTTGCCTTATTAAACAAATAAATAATAATAAAAATCTTATACTTTTTAATTAAGATGGTAATATATGTGAAACCAGTGAATAAATTTATTTTAAATTATTCAAAGGATATGGTAATAAATAATAAATTTAATAAATATTTATTAAAAATTAGATAGTTTAAAATAACTAAATATACTTAACATAATTCCTTTAATTTCAATAATAAACACTATTTAAAAAAATAGAATTTTTTACAGCATAATAATACTTAGAAAAAATACGAGTTGTTAAAAATACATAAATTAGTAATTTCTTATTACTAACATAATTGAAAATGCTATTTAAGACAATGCAACCATATTTAATGTGGAATTTGAATTTTGTATAATAGAAAATAAGTATTAATAATAATAATATCAATATTTATAAATTAATAAATATTCTTTAGAAAAAAATAAATTTTCAATTACAAAATCTTTAAATAAATTAAAAGAATTAATTTAAATATTCGTTTAATAAAATTTAAATTAATAATCATAATCAATTAATAACATGATGTATAAAAAAAAATATATATGCATTTTATTTATTTTAATAAAAAAGAATTGAATAAAATTAAACCAGTTTGAGCGATAAAAAATAAATAGAAATAGAATAAAATTTAATAAACAATAATTAAAATGCTGTATAAAAAAATTAAAATAATAATATATCAACTTAAATATTCGATTTATAAATTAGCCAAAAATAAGAAACAAATATCTTAAATAGTCCTTATAATAAAATAATTGATAGTTTATTAGAATAAAATATAATATATAATTAAAAAAATTAATAAAATATTTGGAATGATAATTTTGTAAGTTCTTTTAAATATATAAATCAAAATTCTATTTAATCAACTACTAATTTAAAAGCTTCAAAGGTTATAAGTGATAGAAATTAATAATTATTTAATAAATTTTCAAATGCTAGTTTTAGAATTTAAAGATTATAGACTGATTAAATATAAACTATTTAAAACGAAGAAAGCATTTCTGACAATTTAACTGAAAATTAAATTAAAATCATTTAATAAGACTAAATAAAAAATAATAAAAGTAATTATAAAAGTTAATAAAGACTTAAAGATATTTAAAAAAAATAATTATTAAATTAGATTAATTAATAAAAATAAAATTTAACTTCAATAATTTTTGATTTAATATTTTACTTTTATTTTTTATATATTATAATCATATCTTTTATATTTTAGTAAAATGTTTCTTAAAAATTAACGTATTTTAATTAAAATTATAAAATTTTAAATTAGCCTACTTATATGTCTTCAGACATTTCTAATATTTTAGGATTATATTCAAAATAATATGTTCTAAGTACAAATTTTTTAAATTAAAGTTAAGAATAAATAATAAAAGAATAAGAAAATATTAATTTTCTTTTAAAATAATTTAGCAATTATTATTAAGAAGATATACTAATAATATATAATTAATCATTCAATTAAGAAATTTTTAATATATACATTTAAAATTAAATTCAAATCAAATGGTTTTTTAACTAAAATAACTTTAATATTAAATAAAAGGATTATTAAATAAATTTATTGCAATTGATATTGTAATATTATTTACTTATTTAAGAAATTAGCAATAATAGAAATTTAACACAATCTGAAATAATTTTTTATTGGGAAAATTTAGAAATTATCAATATTTAATTAAACGAAATTTAAATATAAATTCAAGCCTTTTTACTTTAATAGTTAGAAAATTTAAATAATATTTCTAAAGAATATTTAATAATTATTTTTGTTGCTTCTTCTTTGATAATGCTAAAATTTATTTATTTAAGTATTTTTAAACACAACCAAAAATAGCGAATTCTTTAATTTTTTGGAACTTTTTCTCCTGAAATTTTAATTAAATAAATTTATACTATTGAATAAGCGATTTCATGGCTTTAAAATCATAATATTGGCTATAAAAAATAAAAAAATACATTTAAAAATTCAATTAATATAATATAAAAACAAGGAAATAAAAGAAACAGATCTATAGCCACATTTGTAAATCTTTCAAAAAAAAAATGTATTCTTTTTGGTTTATATCAGCTTTTATAGTTTTGCTTTTGTTTATAATTCCAGAAATATTTTATGAAATAACCAATTAATTTTAAAATTAATGTAAAGTAATTATTACAGAAAGAATAATCATATGTCATAGTACAAAATATGTTTCTTACTTATATGCTATTAATTAAGGATTATTATATTTATATAGCTCAGGCAGAGATATTAAAGACACTGTTTAAATTAGGCTTTACTAAAAATTTATCGAGAATGGAAATAAAAGTGTAGAATAATAATTATTTTATTTGTTTGAGAATTAAAATGTAAAAAGATATAATTAATAAAAGTATGAAAATTTTTGTAAGAAAATTCTTTTTGAAAATATTTGTGATTATTATGAATAAACATAATAATTAGATATTTTGATTATTAATAATGTAATTTAATAAATAGAGGAATTTTAAAAAGAGGATTTATTTTGACAATTTAAAATATTATAAATTAAGATTATAACTTGTAATATGTTTATACATAAAAATAGGATAGTGTTTAAAATTACTTGTTGATTAATATAAAGATCATTTAACTTCTTTAATAAGTTAAATTTAACTTTAGAATATTATATATGATTTGGAAGAAGAATATTACTATATCGAAATGAATAATTAAACTGAATTTCTTGAAGAATTTTTCTTTATATTAATTATAGTATAACTGCTACTTTTAGCATTTTTATTATATTTTTTCTAGAAATTTTTAAAAAAATATGTAAATGAAAATATTAATCACTTAAAAAATACATTAAAAATATTTAATGCAAATATAATTATAAAAAATGCTATAGTTGCAAAATATTTATTAAATAAATAATGAAATAATGAAGAAATATAAATATATATTAAAATAAAAAAAATACTATAAACTTTTTATATTTTATGTAAAATAAAAATTCTTAAACAAGTAAAATTATATATTTAATAAAATTAAAACAATAGATAAAATTATATATATAAATAAAATTAAAAAGGTAAGGTTATATCAAAATAGATAATTTTTTTTTATTTTAAATTAAAAAATAAAAAATATATCATAAAATAAAAAAATCATTAATTTTAAAAATAAATTAAGTTTAATTTATTTTATTTATAACTAAAAATTAAAACTTTTATGCGAAATTTAATCTTTAATGTATTAATAAAAATCAACAATTAATTAATATTATAATAAATTAAAAAAAAAAAAAATATTGAAACATTTAAAAAAATTATTCCACCAATATTTAATTTTGACCTTTTTTCCTTTTTATTAATATAATATTAATTTTCTCTTATCAATATATTTTAAATAAAATTAAAATAAAATTTTACAAATAAATAAAGAAATTAATCATCATATATAAAATAATAATATCTTTTCAAAATCTTTAATTAAAATTATAAATAAAAAAATACATATAAAGCAATAAAAAATAAAAATGCATTAAAAGTTTCTCGTTTTATTATTATTAATTTGTTTAATATCTTAATCTTTATCATAATTTGTTTTCAAGGGTTGCTTTTAATAAATTGGAATAGTAACCGAAGAAATAATTAATATCGCTTAAAATGTTTCATAAAAAAATACAACAATTTAAACATTCTTGACCAAAACTTACAATATCGTAAAGAACGTAGACCCTTTATTCAAATCATGTGGATTAAACGTTCGTTACTTAAATAAAACTTAAGAGTGGGGTCCTAAAAATTCTGAAAATTGTTTTAGTAATAATATATATATATAAAAGAAAAAAAATTAAATATATTATTATAATATTTCATTAGATAATATTGCTTAAATTTATGATGGAATTGCTAAAGTTTATTAAAGCTATTAATCTGGAGGTAATTCCTTTTAACTTATGGGGCCTATTGGAAATCTTGTTTCTTTGATTAATACTACAAAAATCGATTGTCATCCTACTCACTTTGAGTAAAATCACATATTACTCTAATATTCTCTTGAAGAAACTTACGAGTTACTTAAATAAGATTCTTCAAAATGTTTAAATGAAAATAGTTCATTAGCCATGGCTTCTGTATAAGTTGCAATGAATATTGCAAATAAAGATATAAACGGAACTATATCATCAACAATTAAAATTTTAAAAGATTTACCTAAAGTTTTGTTAAATTGTGGATAATAAAAAATTTATGAAAAAATTAAAGTTTTCGAAAGTATTGATTTTGATGATTGTGATTAAGATTTGAAAGAACTCATTGCCCATGTCATGGAACTTATTAATAATATTAAAAGCAAAGGTTATTTCGCTTTACTTTCTAATGCTTAAGGAATTTATAATGAAATTAAAGATTTGAACACTCATTGCAGAAAAAACAATAACATTGTAGCTTTAATGTTAGGTAAAGTAAACTGAAAAAAACTATGCTAAAATAATCTAGTCAATAAGAAAAAAAAAAGAAAAAAGATTTTATTTTTATCTATATAAAATAAAATCAAGTTTAATATCTTTTTATTTTTTTATATAAAATTTAAATAAAAATTGAATTTTTTATTATATTTTAAAATATTATGATAATTTTTTTTAATTTGATAAAAAATTTTACACTATATAATTGATTAGAGTTTATAAATTATTAAACTAAATTTATTATTTTATACCCTAAAATAAAATATAATCAACAAAAGAATAATTATAATAATAAATTTATATAAAGAATAAAATTAAATTTCACTTCACTATAATATAATTTTTAATTTAAAATATCAATTTTCATAAGGATCTTAAATATGATAATTTTTGTCATGTTAACTATTCTTATTTCCTATTCTTATCATAAGATAAGAAAGGTCCCATCCAGGATATATAGTATCAACTCTATCTGGTACATTTACAATTTAATCATATTTAAGATTATAAACTTCTTATAGCAAAGTATAAACATAAGCTGCGTTAAAAACTTTTTCATATAAATTTTTATCGCCCCAAAATTACAAATTAACTTACTACCAATTCATCTAATATAAATACTCTAGCTTTTCATAATAATCTTACATTTTAAATTCTCTTTTAAATTTAAGGAATTTAGCAGAATCACTAGCATTACTTACTGCATATATTTAATGGTTTTCTGGAAGTTTGATTTTTTATCTTTCATTTATAAAGCAAGAGTCATAATTTTACGTTTTGCAATTTTTAATGGTTTTTAAATATATTTAGAAATAAAATTTTAACATTATTATAAATTGCCAGTTCCTTATATGATATAATTTTTTATTAAGAATTTTCCATAATTACTAATTCTTTTTGATACCCATTATTAGCACAAGGGAAATAAACATTAATTTTTTCATTATTTTTTTTATTTTAAACCAAATTAATATTTTCACTATTACTAATAACAGACTTAATAATATTATATCTTGCTTAATTTACTCCAAAACCCAAAAAAGTATAACTACGTAATTTTTTATAATCCATTTTCTCCAAAATAATATCCATATCCATATTCTAGTTATTTTTCTCAACTCTATTTTCTATAGGAACAAATGCTACTTGAGAAGAAGCACCACCAATATCAATAGTAGTAACTGTATTTTATTTATTTAAATTTTCCATATTTAAATTTCCCAATAAATAATTCATATTTAACCACAAATAAGCACCTTCTTAAGGTCCTGTAATTATTTGGCACCATTTTTTTTATTCTTTTGGGTCATTTGGAAAATAATATTCAGATTAACTCAATATAGTTATTGATTCATTTATTATATATTATTGTTGATTTGGTGTTAATAATCTCATCCCTGCGGTTGCTCCTAGCATTATAGGAGTTCTTTTTCTTGTTTTAGGGCTTTCTATAATTGAGTTTAAGTAATTGAATATTGGCATAAATAAATCTACTTTTAATAAATTTACTTTTGTTTGAAATTGGGCTAAACGAGGAAATTCCTTTTATTTTTAGACTTCAGAACTTCTGTAATCTAAATTTGGGACATAGTATTGCTTAAAGCAATCGATATTATAAATGTTTGCTCTTGTTCCCGATGAACCTGCATCTAATGCTACTGCGTAACATTTTTGATCCTCTATGTCTAAAAGGTCTTAGATTAAATCATTTGTTGTATTTATGAAACATATTAAATGAAGTAAAAAAAGAAGAATAATATAAATACTTTCCATAAGTATTTTTTTCTTTTTATGACACTTTTCTAAAAATAAATATTTATTATAAAAAGTATTTTTATTTTTTATGTTTTTAAATATATATGTTTCAATTATTTAATTATAAAATTTATGTTTTAAAAACGTTAATCCCGTTTTAATAGTAATATAAAAAGAATAAAAATTTTAGTATTTTAAATTAATTTTAATTTCAAAAAAAAAACTTTTCAATTATTTATATTTAATCTGAAAAATATTAAAATAAAACTTTATAAAAATAATAAAATATTAAATAAAAATACTAACTATTTATAATTAAATAATTCTTATTTATTTAATTTATTCTATAATTTATTTTATATATTAAAAATATTTATATTTTTTTAGATTTAAATATTGAAAAATTGATTTATAAAAAGATTAGCAATTTAAAAAATATTTATTACCCTAGTATTTTAGCTTATTGTATAAGTTTCACAAAAAATACAAATTAAAATTTGTATATCACTTCTATACAATTTAAATTAGTTTGTAGTAGCTTATACAAATAAAATATTATAATTTTATATTTTATTTATTTAATTAGACTAATAATTTAAATCTTGTTAGTTTACATAAAAGAATTAATAATTGTTATTAAAAAATTATATTTATGAAAATAGAATAGGTTATTTATAAATAACTTAATATACTAAAGACTAATCTGCTTAATTTTGTTTTTTTTCATAAAATAATTAATTAATGCTATAAAGAAAAATATATATAATTTTTTAACGAAATATTAGGCTATTTATAAATAATTATTATAATATAATTAATTTTTATTAAATAATATCCTATAATTTATCTTTAATTTGATGAATTATTAATTTATAATTTAAAGTATAAATTATAATAATTATATTATTTGTAGTCAAAACTATTTTTTTAATATTTTTAATAACTTAAGTAAAATTATAAAATAATTTTGTTTTACAAAAAAAAGTCATAAAATAGGGTCTAAAAAATAAATTAAAATAATATAAAAAAAGAAAATATAAATACAAATTAATAAAAAATGTAAAACAACAAAAAAACTTGTTATTACGAAATACTAGGTATTGATAAAAAAGCAACAGATGAAGAAATAAAAAAAGCATATAAAAAGTAGGCATTAAAATATCATCCAGATAAAAACACTGAAGAAGATTCAAAGCTAATTTTTTAATGTAAAAAAAATAAAATTAAAATTAAAATACAAAAATAATAGAAATAAGTGAAGCTTATGAAACATTAATAGACCCAAATGAAAGAAGTTGGTACGACTCTCATAGAGATTAAATATTAAAAGGGACATATGGAGAACCTATGTCAAAAGAAGAATAAGAATAAAATACATACGGATTTAATATTTGGCCTTATTTTAGTAGCAGTTGTTATGAAGGATTTGAGGCAAGTTAAGAAAAAAATTTTTACAGCATTTATTCTGAAGTTTTTGAAAAAATAAAAAATGAAGAATGGAATGCTTACGAATATACTGATGATCCAGAAGTTGAAAGTTAAAAATATTTTAAACCTGAACCTTTTGGAAACTCATAGAGTAGTAAAAAAGAAGTTATTGAATTTTATAAATGGTGGAGTAATTTCTTTTCTTATAAATCCTTTAGTTGGTGTGATGAGTACAATATCAATGAAGCTCCTAATAGATGGGAAAGAAGATAAATGGAAAAGATTAATAAAAAAGAACGTTTTTAAGAAAAAAAAAAATACATTAAAACTATTAAGGAGTTAGTTGAGTTTGTTAGAAGAAGAGATCCTAGATGGAAAAAAATAGAAGATGAAAGATAAATAGAAGAAGATAGAAAAAAAGAAGAGATTAGATTGAAATAGGAAGTTGAGAAAAAAAGGAAATAAGAAAAATTAAAATAATTAGAAGAATAATTAACTAAGAAATAAAAGCAACTAGCGAAAATGTCAAAAAAAGATTAAGTTAGCCGGGCCGCTTAATTAGATGAAGAATTTAGAATTTATAAAGAATAATAATTGAAGTTTTAACAAGAATAAGAATAACTATAATAAATTGCAAATTTGGAAAAAGAAAAAGAAGAAGAGGAAGAAGAAGAATAGGAATACACTGATTTTATTTGCGAATTATGTAATAAAGGATTTAAAAATAATGAAACACTTGAGAAACATAATAATAGTAATTCTCATAAAAACAAGAAGAAAAAAATTCAGAAAAAACTTAATTAATAAAATAATATAGAAACTAATTAATTTGATAATGATGGATATTCTGAAGGATCTAGTTTATAAATTAGTTAATAATAGTAAGAAAAGGGTAAAAAATCAAAAGGAAAGAAAAAAAAATAAAATAATAAAGATGAATAAGAAGAATAAAACATTAAAAATGACTTTAAAAATGATATTTAAATAACTGATTATTGGAATTAAAATACTTAGGAAAACAATGACTAATAAAATAATGAAGATGTTGAAAAAGAAGAATGGAAGGAAAAAGTTATTGTTGAAAAAGAAGAAGTAGACGAATGGAATAGTATGAAAGGATTAACAAAAAAACAACAAAATAAATTAACACATATGTAAGTTTTAAAATAGAAAGAATAGGAAAAATAATAAAAGGAGTTAGAAAAATTACAAAGAAAGAAAGAATAATAAAAATTAAAAAAATAAGGAAAATAAGGTGAACAATAATAATAATAAGAAGAAGAAGAAAACCAAAATAATAATTTTGAATCTAACTAATTTAAAGATTAATAAGATTAGGAAAAAGATTAGCTATAAATAAATAATGATGATAAATAAAATCAATTATAATAAAAATAAGAAGAAGATGAATGGTATAGTATTAAAGTTTAGCCTAAACCTTAAAAAGTAGATAAAAAAAAGAAAAAATGAGTTATTTATATTTTTTTTTTATTCCATATAATGTATTTAATATTAAAATAATTTAATTCTTTTAGAATAAAAATTTATTTTTATATTTTTAAAAAGAAAAGTTCATAATAATATATTTTTTTTTTAATAATTTTAATTATTATTTGACTAACTAATTTTATTTATATAATTTAATTTAACTAAATTATATAATAAGAGTATATTTAAAATTTTAATTTATAATTTTCCAAAAAATCTAATGCTTTTTATGAATTTAAAATTTAGTTAATAATTATTGTTTATCCAAGAAAATTTAATTAAATAAATATATTAAATTTTTTTTGTTAATTTTATTTAAATAAATATGTATAACTCAAAGTTATATAATTTACTTATAAATGATTAATGGATAAATAAGTAGACGAAAATATTTTGAATAAAATACATTACGTAAGAAAACATTATAAGAAATCAATTACGATATATAAAATAACAAATAAATAAGTTAAGAAAAAGTAGATGATTACAAAGAAATGCAATAAAGTAGTCCAAAGTAATAGTATTAAATATCTTCATTTACCCAATTTGACAATTTATAATAATAATAATAATAATAATAATAATAATAATAATAATAATAATAATAATAATTAAGATAATAATAATCAATTAAAATAAAATAATGATATAAAATATATAGTAAAAAATAGTAAACTATAAACTTTTAAAAGATTATAGTATAATAAAAAATAGACTCAAAAAATATAAAGATTAAGTAAAGTTTGGGCCTAAAAAGGTCTAAATATCTTATTTCATGTCTAAAAATTTTTAGGTTTATTAAAAAATGTCTCTTCTTTACATATATTTAAAAACTTAGAATAAAAAGAATTCAATATAATTGATGATAATGCATGTAATTATGAATACTATAAATATAATAATTTTCTTATAAAAAATGCTCCTTCAATTTTTGAAAAATTTATTTATAAAATAAAGCATAATTTAAATGAAAAAAAGGCTTTTATTAATAAACAAAGTTTTTTTTATAGAATATTAAAAAGCCTTTTAGAAAATTTTATTGTTTTTAACCCTGATACTGTTCTTAGAAAAGCTTGGGATTTTGTCATTTTTATTTTACTTTTTTTAAATATATTTTATATTCCTATTAAAATTTCATTTTTGGATTCTGAAAGTTTACGTAAAATTAATATATAATTTTTTAAATAATATTTTATTAAGAATGGAACAATTTTACAGAACTTATTTTTGATTCAGTACCTGACATTGCATTTATAATCGATATTCTAATAAACTTAAACTCAGGTTTTTATAAGAAAGGGGTTTTAATATTAAACAGAAGCTAAATAATAAATAATTATGTCAAAAGAAAATTATTTTGGGATCTTATAATCATAACTCCATTTATAATATCAAGATAAACAAGCAATAGTTATTTGAGTATTGTTTTAGTAATGCGTTTAAGTAAAATGATAAGTATTGCTAATAACATAGTAGAAATTTTTAATATCAAATCATATTACTATGCTGTATATGACTTAGTAAAATTAATACTTCTCATATTATTTATTGCCCATTTTTGTGGGTGCTCATTCTATTATTTAGGTACATTGTAGGCAAAATAAGGAAACACAATAAACTGGATAAACAAAATAAAAAATATGCAAGATGCATAAAGGCCAGAAAAATGGGTTTCTTATTATATTTTGTCACTATATTGGGCTGTAATAACTATGATTACAGTAGGATATGGAGATATTATTCCTGTAAACGATACAGAGAGGATTTTTTGCATTATTATTACTTTACTTAGTTGTGGGCTTTTTGCATATAGTTTGAATTCTATAGGAAGTATTGTTAGTTAATTAACGAAAAAGGATGAAGATTTAAAAACTAAAATTTAGTTCTTAAATGATTATATGAACAAAAGAGGGATGAATATGAAATTATAAATAAAGGTGAGATAATATGTCCAGTATCTGCATATAGAGGAAATGAAAAATTATGGTGAAAATATGATAAATTAATTAACTAGTTCTTTAAAAAAAGAAATTTAATTGGATATTTATGGAAGAATTCTTAAAAGTAAAAAAATCTTTAATTTAAATTTTTCTGAATAATTTATAATGGCTTTGGCTCCAAAATTAAAAGAAAAAAAACTGGGGCCAGATGAAATTATTTATAATTAAAATGAATTGGATTTAAAAATTTACTTTTTAATGAGTGGCAATGTTGATATTTTTATGAATGTAAAAAATGCTTTAAATAAATAACCTTTCACTGTTATTTAATCTTTTAAAAAAGGCTAGCTTTTTGGAGATTTAACATTATTTACTGGATAGGCTTCTGATCATGGAGCAATAACAAAAAATATTGTTAGCTTAGTTTATTTAAAGTTGGATGAATTTTTATAAATTATTTAAGATTTTCCTTCTGATAATGAGAAGTTTGCCCAAATGAGAGACAATTATAATTTGTATAAAAGGACAAGAGGTTTAGGTATGAATTATTTTTTATTATTTATTTTAGAAATAAAAAAAGGATTATAATGCTATGGTTGCAATAAATTTACACATTAAATTACAGATTGTAATTATTTTAGATTTAAACCAAACAAAGAATAACTATTTTAAAAACAAAAGAAGGATTAAAAAGATTAAATGAGAAAATAAATAAATAGATAAAGACAAAAGTACTAACATACATGGAACACAATTGAAGATTTAAAATATGCTATTATCGAAACTATTATTGAAAGCGAGAATATTTAGAATATGGAGGATTTGCTATATAGAATATAAGAAATCTAAAATAGCTTTAATTAAGAAAAAGATTATGATTAAGATTAAGATTATGATTGCAATAGTTTAGATAATTATTATACTTAGTAAATTAGTTCAATTATTGGAAAAGGAAAAAGAAGGTAAAAATCTATATCCTTTTTTTAATAAAACTATTTAATAAAAATAGGACTCTAAATAAAAAAAATACTATAATTAATAATTGTGTATAATAATTGGAATAAATAAACGAAAATGATTAATAAGAAATGTTAGAAAACAAAATATAGGAAAAATTTTAAAGGTAAAGTGTATAAAAGAAATTAACAATAAACTATAAAAGATCTTGTAATAATAAAAAGCAAACTATTTTACCTAAAACTAATATTTAATAAAAGAAAAACAGCTAATTATTTTATGGTTCTTTTACTAAGGAAAATAGCATAAAAACGTAAATAAACACTGAAATGTAAAATTTTATATTTATTTACAATATTAAATAAATTAAAAAAAAAAGTTAATAAAATTAAAATATTTATGAGGGATAATTATAAAATCAAGAAATAATTAATGAAAGTTTTTTCACTTTACAAGATTTTGACTTTATAAAATAATATAAGTTTTATTTTACTTAAAATAATATTGATTATGTATTATTCAAATATAATAAAAAAATAAATAATAATATCGAATTAGTTTTATAAAAAAAGAAATAATAAACAATAAATTTATAAGATTTTTTGTAATAATCTAAATCCAAAAATAAAAGCGGGTGGTTAAATGACTAAAGTAATGAGTAAAAAATAATTAATGACATTTTTAAGTAAAGTTTGAAGTAAAAATTATTTTTAAATTAATGTTATAATATTTTTTATATTTTAGAATTAAGGCAGCAAGTAATAGCTATTAAAAATAAAAATAGTATATTTAAAAATTTGATTCAATTAATAGTAAAGTAGAAATAAAAATATGATGAAAATTATATTTTAAATTTAATAGACAATCAATAATAAAATTATAATTTAATAAATAAATATTATTTTTATTTAAGAATATTTAATGTATTATCAAATTTAAACATAATTAATTTATATTTTATAATTAAAATATATATGTTTATTTTTTAAATATTTATAAAAATTATTCAATATAATTATATATGTTATATATACATATTTATTTATATATAAAATAATAAATTATTTTTTGCATTGAATATTTATTAATTAATATAATTTTTTATAACTAATAACTCTTTTTTAATTCATTAATTTTTATATATAAACTAATGTAATTTCCTTAAAACAATATATATTAAGGAAAGAATTCGAATAATTTGAATAAGATTTTAATTAATATGTACCTATTGAAGAAATAAATATATATATAAGCAAAAGAGTAATACATATATTGTTTTATTAGTAGTTTTATATTATAGAATGGAAAACCTTGTAATATAGATATACAAAACTAAATATATGAGCAAATGTTAAAGGATGAAGAAGGTTATGTAACTGTAAATGAATATATACATGTTTGGATAGAGGCAGAATAAATTTTACTTAATAAAATTAAATTTTAAAAAAATTATATTTAAGAACTCTATAAATAAAAGCTATAAGCCTAATAGAAATTAGAATAAATTTAAATTATTCAAAAATAATAAAATTAAAAAGACGAATAGTTTTATCTCCATTATAGTATTATAAAAGCAGAATTATACTAACCTTTTTAAGCATACATATAATTGTAATATGAGAAAACTTATTAAAAAACATAAGTTTTTTATAGTCAATATCCATAATATAATTATTCTAATAAAATGTATATTAATATATAATATATAATAATAATTATAATTTTTTGTTTTTTTTTAAAAAGATAAATAAGTAATAAAAATGAAGACATTACTATACAGCTTGTAAATTCCTAAAATATGAGAACAATAGGAACTTCGAAATTTAATTTAAAAATAATTGAAGATAACTAAAATGAAAAAGAATTTTTTCTTGAACTTTTTGATGAAACTTGTAATTATATTGGAACTGTTATTGTAGAATTCAATTTTCTATATTAAGGCTTACATTAAATTAAAAATGCATACAAAGCTCTAGAAAACAAAATAGATTAAAATGAAAAAGATTTGATTAATTATTAAAAAAATCTAAAAAGCTTATATGAGCCTTTTAAAATTTATTAAAAATTTATAAATAAAATTTCTAATTAGTTAGTGTTAGAAACTTCTTTAACGGAATAAATATTAGCTAATGATAATTCTTAAAATTT